TATTTCACTTTTAGAAGAGCTGTAGGATCTACACAAGTAAATAACTTATTTTTCTATGGTAATTTTCAGCATGAACCACCCAAGAAAAATGTACTCTCACATATGCATCTTCTCATCTCTGAACATTCAGCAGAAAAATGCAAATTTTCACCTTCCTTTTAAAAGACCCTCAAAAATATGCTTGTATTTACTTACACACCCTTGTATAAGCATTTGCAATGGATCATACTGCAGTTCTACTGTCTCTGCAAAAACCCACATGAGCCTAATAAATTGGCTGTCCCAAATTCCCATGCATTTCCTGCTGCAAAAATCCTGACATTTATCTAAGACAGGGTATAATCCATCACCAGGTCTCAGTAGGATCTGCCCTGCTGTTCAGTACTAACTGGAACTCTGTCTTCTTCTGTGTTGTTCAACAAAAACAACACAAAGCAATATTTGAATCTCAAAGCCATCGTAATCCACATCATATTTCTATGTTACCTCATGGGTTCTTATTTTAATTTGCCAGACACATTAATTGGCAGCCCCAGTGCAGCAGCATGTTTAATCTATTTTCACAGATTTTAAGATAGAGAACAACTTTGACTTTCAAATTAGTTTGAAAGTCTTTCTCTTCCTGCTTTATTCTGACAGATTATATCAAATGGGACATTAAAATGAACTGCATCAAAACTTGGAGGTTATTTTCCAAGGGATATCTCTGACCTTGGAAATAGTACTCATTCTCTTAGACACACAGCTCAATGTTCTGTGTAAGAAATAAGGGTTACCTCAACTTTTTTCTAGAGGCTGATTCAGATGCTGAATTGGTGAGGCAAGTTGGTTTCATTACTTTATGCTTTCATTACTTTATGCTTTCATTACTTTCTGCTTCAGCAGAATACAGCAGACTGGACCCATGGAAAAGGCACACCAAAATGAAAATCTTTCCTTTTTCCAAAATAACAATAAAACACTTTGAGCTTTCCAAAATTTCGCAGAATCACAGAATGGTTGAAGCTGAAAGAGACCTCTAGAGGTCAGCTGGTGCAAACCCCAAGCAGGACCACCTAGAGCAGGCTATCCAGTACCATGTCCAGGCAGGGTTTGACTATGACTAAAGATGAAGATTCCACAACCTCTCTTGGCAATCTGTGCCAGTGCTCTGTCAGCCTTTTGATGAAAAGCATTTTTTTTTCCTCATGTTCAGAGGAAACCTCCTGTTTTGGATTGAAAAGATCTCATGCAAATTCTTTCCAGGAATGATGCCTGGCATTAAACCTCAGGTGTGCCTGTTGTCATGGATGTTTGGAGAGCTGGCTCATGGCTGAACCTGATCACCATCACCAGACATGTCATGCTCACCTTACTTGACTACTGTGGAACTGTGCCCATCAGTCATGCTGTCATCTGACCTCCCTCTTTCCATCTGCCATTGGGTTTTACTGCCCCATCTCTCAGTTGAACAGCACAGGATAAAAACAAAAGACTGGAACTTTTAGAATAGAAAAAAAGCCAGATACTCACACAGTGAAGGAATCAGGGGGAGCCGAGACTCTCCTCAGGTCAGCAGACTGCACTTTATGGATACTATAAGGCAGCAGGAAATGAGTGGCCAGGAGAAAAACAGCACACGGTGAGGACAGACAAGAAAAAAAGGTGAGAGAGAGAGGAGGAGTGGAACAGAAGAAAGAAAAAGACACACAACATTTAAACAGAAACAAAAGGAATGTGTCACATAAAAGTTGAATGAAGGGCCATGCAGAGCTCTGAGCTCACATTAGGAAGCCAAGAGCAGCTGAAGACATGCAAATGGAGAAAATCACTGCTATGTGGCACACAGGAGCTTTCTAAAGCTACAAGTGAGGAGCAGTGACAAGCTCAGCACACGAACATACAAGACAAGGGATCCCAGAATTCCTTCCACAGGCACTGAAAAATTTCAAAGCAACTTGACTTTGGAAGCAGGTCCAGAAATGCAAACAAACATCAAAGCTGAGATCCAGATGGACTGAATTTTCTCCAAGGGTTGACCAACCAATTACTGTTTAAGGAAAAAATACGCTTACTGGAGATTTTGTATCTACAATGACAAGATGTTGTTTCCATTCCTCTTGCTCATACCTTAGGGAAACTTGCCTTTTATTAATATTCACCTTTAGTGTTTATATTCACCTTAGAGTTTATATTCAAATGATCCCTTTCTTTTTTTTGAATGTCTCAAATATATTTTATCTAAAAAGTTGTTTTATCTTCACAGACTCTTCTTTCTCTTCCATTATGCGGGATGCTCTCCCTCAAGCCAAACTAAAAGTCAGTGAGAGCAAAATCCATTTTTGCAATTCAGAAAGTGTTCATTAACTGAAACTTACTGGGGAATATACTATGCAGGAGTTTCTAATCAGAAAATTATTCCTGGAAAAGCTGAACCACAGTTTCTCTTTTTATTCCCCATAATTTTCGGTGTAGCTCACAACAGCCACATTCTTGGATCAGTCACAGAAAACCAAGCTGTGTTGTCTCTTTCACATGCTACTGTGATCAATAGTGGAGAACAGGAATGAGAACTTAGCCAACAAGTGTTTCAAGGAGAAAAAAAAATAAGAAAAAAAATACAGAAAAAAGATGATCAGGACAAAAAAATACAGAAACAGTGTAAGACTTCTTCAAGTTTAGTCTTCTTCTACTCATTCCTACTTTTTATCTGGCAATAATGTCAAAGCTGACAATAACAACAACTCTGCATTTTTGTGACCAAGATAATTTTCTAATTGCTTTTCTGGCAAGGAGCTCAAGAAGAGCTGTCTAGTAATTAAAGATAGCTCCAGACCTGATGACTTATCTCACACATCTGACATTTAAATGATAGTCATTAAACAACCCTTCATCTATCATGTTCAATTCAATACCAGGCTTTCTGGGAGATTCCAACAGAACAAGGAATTATATCCTAGAGATCAAGCTAAGAAAAATAGATAAACATAGTTAATTACAAATTTCTTCACTTATGCAATACTACCAATCAGCATCATATTGAATGAACCCCTAACAATACTAATATGTTTCCTAGATTTTAACCTTTAACACATTTACTTTTTATCACAGTAGAAGAAGATTCAAGTCCTCTCTCCCTCCTTTTTAACACCTCAGAGCGAACATACTCAGATATATATAGAAATAGATGTAAATATCTACACACACAGTTTCTGATATGTGAAGCTGAGACTACAGTTCCTGACAGATCATTTGCATTTTCCCAAGACACAGATCTGCAAAAAAATATGTCAGCCAAATCAAAGGACTCTGACAGCAATTTAGTGTACCATGGCACATTTAAATCAAGCTAAACCACTAATAATATCCCCTTGATAATTGGTATATACTACAGATCTGTATTTCCCCACCACAGTTTAAATTCAGATCTAATAATTGGCATATACTACAGATTTATATATAAAAAATCCAAACCTAACCCATGCTAATTATCAGTTTGAAATACCATGAATTCTCTTTTTACGTTTGTGTTAGTGTCCTTCAGTGCAGAAAAAAGATGTCCCAGGGCTGCCCTTTACATTCACTGAAGATTGAGGAGTTGTGGTTGGGTGAAATTGAGCACTGCTGCCCATAGTCAAGAGTCTTCTATTCTCTGCTCAAGAAAGATGAGTATACTTTATAGGTTTTCCAGGCAAATAGAAATTGCACATTAGAGAAATGGGTTTCTACTGCAACTTAAAGCATTAGTCTCAGTAAGAGGACAGAGTGCTAAACTGAACCGGAACATGTTGAAAGTAACCAGGGTGGCTTTGACTACATTAATAGATTGACAGCCAGGGGATGACAAAAAACTCTTAAGGGCTGGAGTCAAAGTTTGAAGTAAAGCAGAATCTTTCTCTAGGTATACAGCTGTATACTTTTAAGATAGCTGAAGAGAAAAGGTGTATCTAAGACCTTGTCCTTTTTTTTCCAGTTATATGAGTTAGTCTTTTGGAAGGTATTACATCTCTTCACAGAACTTGCCTCACCATTACAATTGCAACAGCAAAATTCCCCCACCCATTTCCCCAGACATATTAAAGCCTTGATGCATGAGTGTTTGAATTAAATGTAGATCTTTAATAACTTTGGGGCATTAGTTTTTTCTTTGGATAAGGGACAGACTGTTTTGCTTCACATTTGGAATATTTGATGAAAAACAGCGAAGTCCCTTGCAACACTCGTTTTAGCAGCAATAAAGACCTATACAAGGATTACAATAATACCCTCTACAAAATAATCTAAGTAATTTTATTGGATGGCCACTTTCATAGGCAAAAATTTGACTATTTAGGTTTCTTCTGATTAAATTGTATCTGCAGTGCTTGTAAAGAAAGTTTAATCATGAAAAGGAATGTTAGTCCTGTGTATTTCCCTTCACAAGCTACTAGTTTCCAATCTCAGCTTTTCTCTAGTCATATTTACAATACTCATTTCTCATTTGGATTTCTATACTGGAGAAAGATTTCCTACAAAGTACAAACAGTTCTTTCAGGACATTCAAATCTTTCTCCATAGACTCTGCCAGGCAGCATGGGCTCACAGCAGAGACTGAAATATGTCCTAATGAGTTCTTGATTGTGGCAATTTCTTACAGGGTCTTCAATGCAGCTTAAAAAGCAGATCAATAAAGCTGAGAAACTAAATCAAAAAAACTTCAAGGGCAAATGGCATACATATGCAGAACCATCAGAAGCCAAGGGGCACACTGCCAAGCCTGCAGAAACCTCTCTAAATAAATAAATACATAACAGAAAGATAGAACACCAGTCTAAAAGCAAGACAGGGGTAACTCAGAAGATAAAGAGTAAAAGAAAGTCAGGTAAGTATTTACAATAGAGTGAAAAGGGACTTCAGAAGATGTGATTTTTTTAAATTTATTTTTCAAATGCGCTGAAAGTCCAGTACATGCAAAATCCATGACGGAATATGCTGCCCCACACAGGCCTCCTGCCGTTAGGACATGCACATGTGCAACTCACTCATTCAGCAAAGGCATGGACGTTCTCCTCTTGCTTTTCTGCACCATGTTGGCTTGGTTCCTTAGGGAGATGCGGATGAGGGAGGGAGCCAGCCGACAGGGCTCGCCGTCCACTTGCATGGGGATAGACTTGTACGTCAAAAGCGTCACCTCCCGGCACTGGTGCAACCTCTCTCCATGGCCACCCACCTGGAGAGCAGCCTGCAAACAACAAACAAAATACACAAACAAACAAAACACCAAGCAGGGAAAAGATAGCTCAGAACAGAGGCAGCTGAGGCAGTTAACAAATCCAAAATGCCACTTTGCTGGCAGCATCCATTACACAGTACTCCATTCCTAAGCTGTTCTGAAAGAGCACAATGAAAGTGTTTTCACCCCAAAACTGCCAAGCATCAAGCAGATATCTAACCACATGCAGTATCGGACTCATCATCTATATATACACACGTGTGCACACACAAATTAATAACTGTGCTCATTCTTAAAGCTTTCAATTTGCTTTGGTTGGTTTGTTTTTACAATAAGTCATGCTAATAATTATTTGCTCTTTAAAACAACATCCCTAATTAGATACATCTGCGAGACAGAAAAATTATTTCCTCTTCCTGAACAGAATGGTCCTTAATATGAATTAGTAAATTTAAGTTTTTTATTATGAAAGCTTACACATCAAGTCAACCTCAGCATTAGACAGGCTGAAAAGAGCAAACAGAAGGACCTTGTTAAAACAATTAAATATCATGTTAGAGAATTCACTTCAAAGAAATTAAGCAAGGAAGACAATAAGCAGATCCTTCAAGTCCTAGGCAGACATGTTTGGGCAGAAATGTATTTTTTTAATGAATATGACTATTATGTGACAATTCACTCTCATCTCTCAGATGCAGAAAAAAATTCTCATATTAATGCAATGCTAACAGAGAACAGTGTAAACACAAGTCAAGGCCTGTGCACTTAATATGATGGATCAATTGACAATATGATCAATAATATAATAATGCTTTTTATAAAGTAGTTCTTTTGTTTGGTTTCACAGACCTACTTAGGTACAACAAGCACATCTGAGACATACAAGGCAAGTTAGGATTATATCAATGCAGTCTAGGGTTATAATCATTCTTCAGCATCACAACCAAAAACACACCTGTAGACCCACAATTCTCAACTAGGCTTCTTTTAAAGAGAAACAGAAGCTCAAAGGGTCCTACTTCTTAAATTCAGCCCTAACTAAAATTGTTGGTAGCTTTTGAGATCTATCCACCTCCATTGACTAGAACTGTGTTAGTGGCAAAAACAAAAAAAAAAAAATCTTCTGACTGAAAATTGTCAGTTTGTACATGCTAAAGTTTGACAGCATTTTCAAAAACATGTCCTAAACTCCTCTTCACTTTTATTCCACAAGAATCTACTAGGCTAAAAACCAAATTTTTTTCTTGTGGGTTATTTCCCTAATCCACTGGTCATAAAAAAAAAAAAGAAATAAAAAAGTCCAGGAAGGTATCCTTAACTCAGAAAAATTTTTAATGGAAAGATTGACCAAGACTGCCTTTTGCTTACTTTGAAGATTAGATTTGACTGACTTACTCATTGAGGAAACAAACACAATTATCATGGGTATTTACTGAAAGTGATATGGACTGCGAGCAGGTCACATAACAAGGGGTTTAGCTAAAACAGGCTCATCTATCTTTGTCTTAAACTAGCTTACATGAGACAGCAGCAACAAAGGCCTACAGGTATGGAGCTAAGTGTGAGCTATAGAAACTTGACAGCAAGTCCAGTTGTGAGTCTTCTGCTGGGCACACTAGGCCCAAGCTGCAGTGCCTTAGGTAGACTGGTGTTAGCATGGAGAAAATTGCCAACTCTGGCTGCATTTAACCACTCCCTGAAGACACTGTCACAGTGTTTGGCCACTGCCATAGCAGGACACCAGGGCATTTAGAGAAAGATTGCTTTTATGGTATCTCAGTTTTAGTTCACTTTAAAGATGGCATTGGAAGAAAGTGCACTGACATATTAAAATTGTTGGCTGAATTTCCTTTTTCTAGCAGAATAAAAAGGAGATATAAAATTCACTCAAGAAATACTAATAAAGTCTTCCACAGCTATTACTAAAGTTTCACAAGACTTTTGGTGAGCATACAGAAACTATATGTCCATATAAGTTTATAATATATTTCATATTTATATACCATCTATACTTAAAAATATTTTTTAATACCATAGAATGAAATATAAAAGCCAAAGAGAGAAAGCAGTGTTTATTTGATCATAGAACATTGCCACAGCAAAATCATGACTTCATGTTCCTTATCATACTGCTCTTACTGTAATAATCTTGCCATTTAACTTCAGAGCACTGCACATGCAAATCAGCATATTTTGGAAGTAATACTTTTTATTAGTAAATAACACTTCTCTTAATAGAAAATAACTATTTAGCTCTGCCATTTAACAGCAGAGCACGCTTTGGCCTTATCTGTGGGGAAACACATCTGTTTTTCAGTAACAAGGAGTATTTTGCACTCTGCAGTGTTGCCCACAGAGCTCTCCCAGCCTGGCAGCACCCCTGTACTCACCAGCGAGGCCATGGTGAACCCAATGACTTCAATGTAGCCATCGTCGTGACGCTGGGGCTCAAAGTCTCTGTGGTCACCAGGGTTCCCCCAGGGCATTGTGCCAGCACAATACCTATAGAGAGAGGTTTGGAGAGCCAGTTGGAGAAAGCAGCTTGCCCTGATGGGTCCTGACTAGTAGCCTTTTAGCCTCTTCTTTTTGTTCCCAAGATGATACAACACCCTCAGGTGTACTCATCATAAACATTACCGGGTTCCTCTCTGAGAGGAAAATGGGGAAACATCAGGAAATAGGTCCTAGAGCAGCAGTACACCCTATTTGCTTTGATTCCTGCTGGTAAGCTGTTGAGCCATAAAGCTGTTTTGCCCCTCTTTCCCCTCTCCCTGCTAGCTCAGCACAAGGAATGCAAAATGTTGCATAGTTTGAGGAGGCAGGGAGACATAAGAAGCAGGAACAGATACAGCTGTGGCATCTCTCTACCATCAGAGAATAGATCTAAAAGTGATCTGAAAGGGATAGAAGGGGAACTTTGAAGAGATGAAAACAAGTCACCCCTTCTTCAAAGCTTGCAGTGCAGGACTCAAAAGATTAAGTGCTTGGGACTGCTTGTGGAGCAAAGTAGGAGGCTGTCTAAAGCAATGTTGTCTAAAGTGGGGTGCATGCAAGAAAAATCCACAACTGACAAGACAATTAGAGCGTATTAAGAAAACGATTACTTTTACTTTCAATAAGAAAGCAAACATTAAAAACATATATATTGTTTGTAATACTAGAATAGAGGTACATGTATATAATTTATAAATATACATATATTGACGTGGTGCTTAAAAGCTTTTTTCTGACAGAAATGCACAATCAAATTAAGTTTGGAGACTACCGTTCTAGAGAACAGGATACCAACAACTTTTGATAACTCAGCTTTATTTTTGTTAAGGACACCTTGTAACACGTTAAAAACTGACTTCTTTCAGCAGTTTGGTATTCCTTGACTGCTAAAATATTTGTCCTTCCCCTCTCTCCATTTCTGTCCCCTCCTCCCCCTTTCCTTTTTTTCCACACTTGGACTCTAATTAAGCACAAGACCAGATATCTGTCCCTTTAATTACTTGTTTGCAGGTTAGATGCACAGCTTTTCAAAGTGTATTTGTTAAGCATTTCTATTGTATCAGGATATTTAACTTTCTAAGGAATGGTTTTGCTGCACCCTGAACTCTGATGCCATTCTGCATAGCTCATTAACAGCATTATAATGAGCCAGCTCTCAATGAGGTGGGAAAATGCTTCCTGTACATTCATCCAGCCTATGAAAACTGTTAGGTGTCTTTTGAAAACTATTGTTATTTTTCTTGCATAACTTCAAGAATCTGTCTTGAGCTTACCTGGGTATGTTTAAAAACACTATACACTGGAACTTCAGCTCCTGGATCTTTGGAGTCAGGTCTGTACCATCACACTACAAAGCCAAAGTGACAGAGCACAGAGAAATTGCTGAATGGAGCCACAGACAAGAGAAGTGTTGCTGCTTTGTAACAACTTTCCCAAGACTTTCCTTGGAATGTGTTGCAAATGTCATGCTCAAAACTGAAAAGTAACAGAGCCATTAAACTCTCACCTCATTCTCTCTCCAAACCTCCACCTCCACCCCCTTCCCACAATATTATAACACAATTTCTTATACTCACCACAACTTTAACATGTTTGGATAAATCTCTCGAGCTTCTTTGCAGAAAGTCTGTAAAGGCTGCCTGCAACAGAAATCAGTGCAGGAATTGTCAGCACTTCCACTCTTTCTTTTTTCTCAGTTCTTATCCCTCCACAGAGCTAATTACCAAAATGCCCTCCTTTGGTCAAACTTACTCTCTCAGAAGACATTATTGATTTTTTTGTTGTTGTTGTTTTTGTTTTAAATTGTGATACTTCTGCTTTTGGGAGCTTAATTGAAAAAAAGTCCTTGGACCCCCAAGTTCAATGGTATCCTGAACCATTAAGCACAATTCTTGCTTACATACTTGTTTCCATATTTAAGGCACATGGGTGTTATCATCTAGAAATACATTATATGTCATTCATTATCAAACTAGTGTTTACTCTTAATGGCTTTAGAATGAAGTGTTGTCCATTTCCCTCGCCATTAAGCACAATTCTTGCTTACGTACTTGTTTCCATATTTAAGGCACATTATATGTCATTCATTATCAAACTAGTGTTTACTCTTAATGGCTTTAGAATGAAGTGTTGTCCATTTCCCTCCTGAATGCACAGGAGCCATTATATGGGAAATTATATGTGCATATTCACCCACGATTAATCACTCCAAATATCTGGTTTGTGCCCTGCACTACCCACCACCCTACAACCAAGACTGCTCCTCAAAGCTACAAAGATGAAGGCCAAAATATTGGGAATTCCTCTAGGAAAGTCAGTGTCAGTGCAGTTCTGGGGCCCTGAAAGAAGCAGAGCAGTGCCTTGAGAAGCTTATGAGCCAGAAGCAGAGGGACCAAGATATGACCAGGACTGTGTCTAAAGGAGTAGCACTTTTCTCACCTGCCCAGCTCTGTACAATAAGAGTACCACAGGCTCTTTTCTACAGACACCTGTGTGTGGCCAGAAACAGCATGAGTGCACTTGAAATTGTAACAGGCAGAATAAACTGGCATAAGTTCCTGATGTGAGAAAGTGAGGGGGAAGGTAATTAAGAAGGCATTCAAGCAACTAAGTTAACATCATTCTGTAAGACAAATCTCAACTTACCCCAGCATAAAACATTTTATTTCTAAATCGGCTGTTGAATTTCTCTGGATTTGCTTCTGTGAAAGGATGAAAAATAAAAGTATGAACACCTAATAAAACAAGTAGAATTCATCATACCTTCACATTCCCTGCCAGCACTACAGTGCTTTCAGTGTATCACTCATAGAAAATATTACCATAAATATGTTTTCTGTGTGAGTCCCCCATCTGTGCCTTTCTCTGCTATCAGATTTCAAACACTGGTATTGAATCCTTCCCTTTTCTTGCAGAGAGTGGAAATATAGCAAAGAGGTAACAAGAATTCAATCAGTTAATTTAACACCTCTCAGACTATTCATCTTATGATAGAATAGAATAGAATTTTAATACTTCTTTTTCTAACAATGGAGAACAAATGTGTAAGAATTATTAGAAATTTATGAAACAATAACTCATGTTTTGAACCAGGAGTAAACTATTAGTAAATTACAAGATTAAATAGCCCCTAAATTCTGATGTGTTAAAGAGTTACTAAGGAATAAGCATTTTTACCCAAATATTTCTGCAGAAAAAAATTTAAAAAGGGAAAAAGATAATTAGTTACTCTAAAACCTATTTAGAAACGGGTTTCATTTTTATTAGACTCCAAGAGATGGAGAATTTTAAGTTTAGTAGTAATGTACCTCTAATGGTTAATTATTCTGACTGTTAATGTAAATGTGGCGGTTTCCAATCTTGAATTTTTCAGTCTTCAGCTGCCAGCTGCTAAATCTTGTTATACTTCCCTGTCAGATTAAAGAGCCTTCAACTATCAGATATCTTCTCCTCAAGTAAATACTCATAGGCACTGATTAAATAGCCTCTTAACTTTCTTCCCAATAAGGTAAATGGAGTTCCCTTAATCTCCCAATATAAGGCACATTTCCCAGAATACAGTTCATTCTTGAGCCTCCTTGCAAACTGCTTTCCTTGTTTGTGACATCTAGAGATTCCAGAAGCAGCCCTTCTTACCCTGTGTTCAGTGTTGGTGCCAACTATTCACCCTGACTCATTGATTCTCTAGAGAAAACATCAAACTACCAAGGCAGTCCTTCTGGCTAAAGCATCACATTAGTGTGGACACATCCAAATTACCTCTCAAATGACCACTTAAAACAATACTTCCAGGTCTCTTGAAAGCCACTACTTCTCACAAAATTTGGCTCCATTTTGCAAGAATGAGCTGCTTGAGGTTTCTGATTTGCTTGTTGGCTCAGTTACTATGTCTGTTGCTGTGTCACAGGTGATTCAAAATCAGTCACTTCTACTTCAAACAATGAATTTAACTGCATAAGTCAATCTCCTCTCACTTATTGAGCTCACAGCTCTTTGCAGAGAGTCTCAACACCCCATGCTAAGCAGCAGAAGGCTTCTGGAGACTTAGTGCCTGTGCTGCACGTTCTCTCATGTGAGTATCCCTAATGGCTCCAGACAGCAGACACCCCAGCACAGGACCTTACATGGATCTTATGACAAATACCCCCACTAACTAAAGCCCCAGTTTAGAACAGGAAAAGGAACCTTTCTGATGTCAGGGACTCAGCAGTCCCTCTACCTATTGGTCCTACTTCTGCCAACACAGATGAGCACGGGTAGGGAGGAAGGACTCTGTGAAGTAAAATAGAGCCTTAAACTGATTAGAATAAGTAAATTATTGAGTGCATATCCAAGGCTCACTCCATCCTCACCGTTCCTAAACCATCAAAGAAATAGAAAAATGGAATGTGTTGGACTCTGTCTGTGTGCAGTGGGGAAGTTTCCTGTAGATGAACTGTCCTGCACAGCTGAGGGATCAAAAGTAAATTGCATCTTCCATGCTCTACCAAAGCATAAGGATAACAATGGAGGAAGTTGGAAAGAGCCAGTGCCCAGAACACTCCCCAAAAAAGCAAAGCTAAATGCATCAGGCTTGGATCCAACCCTCAAGTCTCAATCTGATTAGTCAGAAGAAAAGTGTAGAGGTTGGTAAGGAAAAGGCCACATTAATATATAGGTTCCTCTGAGACACTGCAATCACTGCTTATTCTAAATAGAAGAGCTGACCAATATCTACTGCTTAAAGTTAAAGCTGACAGCTTATATCAATTTATCTTTGGATTTCAGGCATGATATTAATTTGTTTTAATACTATATGTGATTACAATAGTTCCAAATAAGCAAATGTATGCAGCCAATTACCTCAAGAGCACAAATGCTGTAGTTGTGCAAGTACTTAACATTTTACTACCATTGCTAAAAATTTCTCTGGATTATCATCTGTGGTAAATAAGATCATAATCTGCTTTTCATTGCTTCATTCACCAAGCCACTGGATTCCTTGGGCTGGAAGGAGCCTTTAAAGTCCATCTGGTCCAACCCCCTGCAATGAGCAGCGACATCTTCACCTGATCTTCACAGATCAGGTTGCTCAGAGCCTCATTCAATCCAGCTTCAAATGTTTCCAGGGATGGAGTACGCACCACTTCTCTGGGCAACCTGTGCCAGTGTTTTACCACCCTCATTGTTAAAATCTTCTTCCTTATATCTAATCCAAATTTACACTATTTTTCCTTAGAGCCATTATCTCTTGTCCTATTGAAACAGGACCCATTTTTCTTATAAATCCCCTTCAAATACTGAAAGGCTATAAAAAGTGCTCCCAGGAACCTTTTCTTCTCCAGGCAGAACAACCCCAACTCCGCATGAAAAACAATACAACCCACAAGCCAGCAACACCTTCAAGGCATTCCTATAAGCTTTCTTCTAAAATACATAGAATTCATTTCATATATTTTAGCATTTGAGAAGACAAGGATGACACCAGCAGCAAAGACTTGTGCTACAGAAGTTCTCCTGGCCATACATACTCAGACACACAGCTTGCTCTGCCAAGTGCTTTTTCACCCGTGTAAATTTTTAAAACCCTGGCATGTCTGGAATAACATTCATCCTTTATAGGGCTTCATAACTTCATTATTAAATAATGCCTCCATTAAATGAGAAAGTAGCCATGCATTTAATCTATACAGTATATTCACAGTCACATTAGCAATGCAGAGTGACATGCACTCATAGAAAAATGCATACAGCTGTCATAATTTCATTCCTGTGCCCTTTTGTGGCCCCTCATTATTATTCCTAAAGCTTGAAGCAGTCTTAAACATCATAAAATATGCATTAGCTCATTCCATCATGTATCCTGCTCTTTATTTAGCCTGGCATTAGAGTGCTATCTTTTCATCTTGAAATGACACTCTGATAGCATGACAGTGACTATGAGGAAGACTGTGTTTCAGAAAAAAATACCTGCATAGGAAGCTGGAATGACCAAAAGCTGAAGGCAGACACCTGAGCAAAGTTTGTTTCTAAAAGCGCACCTGCCTAAACCATATAAATAGAGCTGTTCATATCAGTGCAAAGCTGTTCATATCAGTCTTTAAGCCACATGTCAGCCTGTGCAGGGTGGCATAACTGCCACTGACACGGGGACAGACAAAGTGCTACAACTGCTCAAATTCCTGACACTTCTGTGGACATTAAACCCTTTAACTTGCATAGAGAACTGTGTCTGTACCAAGTCCAGGGTATGATATACTGATCCATAGGTAACAGCTGTTCATTTGATAATACAATTATATTCCTGCCACTTCCAGTCTTGTGGCTCTTCTCTTCCCTCCACTTCCACACTCACACCTGACATATATTATCTCCTTCACAAGATCTAACACTTTGTAAAGCTCCTCTCTCAGCCTTTTTCCTGCAGTATATTACAGTCTTCTTAGTACTTTTTTCATTTCTTAATCATGAAGTCCCTTGGAAACTCATAACACAATCACTTTTTCTTCTTGTATGTATCTTAAGGTTTTATGTTCCAACTTTATTCTGAATTATAAGAACAGATGTTAAAACCAACTCTATTTGTAATTAATAAAATGACTGCCCATCCCCATGACTAAGGAAATAAAAAGTTATTATTACCTCTGGATTCATGGAACTCCAGCGTAACGTGTGCATCAAATCCAAGACTGAAGTAATTATTGAAGACATTTAGGGGAAGCTATAATTAGGTAATAAAGATACATTAAAACAACGTGAATGGAACATTTCTCAACACACCAGGGTTTAACTATCTAAACTTGGCTTATCATGGAAACCTACTAAGAACAAAGTGGAACATATCATGGAAATGTAAGCAGAAGATTCCTCTGAGGGTTAGTAATGGCTTGTGAAAAATTATCAGATACAAGAGCCCAAAGAACACGACTAGACCTACAGTGCTCTATGATCATATGTGTGGCTTTGTTAACACATCAAAGGGTTCCTTATGTTGTTTTTTAGATTTCCTGTAAGGCTGCACCACTTAACATATCACCAACACAAAGGTTTTCAAAGGTTTTGCTAGCTCTTCAAGCTCAGCATGGCAAATGAAGCTCCAGCTGTGTTCTTCTCACTCCATATATAACCAGGAGCAAGCCAAGTCCCAGAGAAAAAGCCTTAATCCTGTTGAGGATGCATGAGGCAGGCAGGCACACATCTGGCCTCTTCATTGTTTCACATACCCAGTGGGGCTGTAGACAGGCAACTGTATCATCCAATAGATAAGCTGGAAATTATCACCGAGAAGAAGAAAATGGTTCACAGAATCGGGAAGTTTTTTTAGATTTGTACTATTTTCAATATCTCCAGTCCAAAGGATAAATTACTATGTGATTTCCTTGCAAAAATTTTCCCATTCTTCAACTACCAAGATACACTAGTGGAGATTACACGGAGACCCACAGAGAAAGAAGTTAAATACAAAAACACCCTACACCTTACTGTAAAGTAGGAAACAGCTGGTATCCATTAGCAAAATCCTAAGGAATTAAATTTTGCATCCAGTTTTTAGTTTTGTCTGATTGGGGAATGGATGGCAGTTTTCCTGCAACTAGAGAAAAGCAACAATGACCTTCCTGATAAAATGCTAGGGATTTTTTTCCCAGGATTTAATCTGACATAAATGTTCAATGCCCAGGTGTTTCAAACAACAAATAAATGCCTTTCACACAACTCTGGAATCACTGACACATGAAAAGAATCAAAGGGAGAGATGCAAATAGAAAATTTAAAAGTTGCAGAACTCCCCACCCATGCTGTTTAAAGTGTAACCCAAAGTGGTTCATAAGCATTCTGTAGTTTCCATGGGAAAAAACAGGCTCTAACCTTACGTGCCCCATCCTCCAGCTCATCCTGGGGCAAATCAGGGTTGCGCTCAACCTGAAGATTCCAACGGTCCAGCTGGACAATGGTTCCATCTTCTACATGGCACAGGATCTTAGACACTGGCTCATCTGTGTAACCCTGACACCAGAGTGACCAGAGTATCAGCCATGGATGATGAAAACAAATCAAGTTATCAATTATCAACAGACCACCCTCCTTTCACACATGCCTAAAATCCTCGATAAATTTTTGATCAAGCATTTTAATAAGCTGCTATTGAGGTGTACAAGTCTACAGCAGGCAAAGGCCATAAGAAGAGGAATTCAAATATCTGCCTTTCCTGGAATAAGCCCAGAGCTGTAGTAAAGGATAAACAAAGAGAAAGTTTAAATTATGCTTAAATTAGAAGCCTGTTTACTGTTCTTGTTACTTGGCCTGAAATACCAGATACATCTACGTACATTTTTATTGCAACAACAACATTAGTAATTCAAAATCCCAGACTGCAAATTGAAGCAAACCGTTCTGCCAGAGTGAAACAGACTTTGGACACAGCCCTGCCTGCTATTTTAGCCAAAAGGAAATTCCACCCCACACAACTAAATCTGAGCAGCAAGTTGAGAACCCCCACATAAAGGTACCCCAGCCAGTCCTTACCCCACCCCAGTTGAGGGTGCGGGCAAGGTCATTCCCAGTGCCAAGTGGAAGGACAGCCACAGGAGGTGGGGGGCTGAGTTGCAGCTCATCAAGGATGGACAGGATCCAGCCCACCTATAAAAATGAAAATTAGGAGAACCTTTAGGAATATTATAGGGAAAAATACATATTTTGATCATATCATATTCTTTTTTACAGAGAAGATCAAGTAAAAGAAATCTAAAAATGAATGAAAAATAATATGGACAATTCAAGCTAATTTTTTTTAATTACTATTATGTCAAAAGAAACTCAACCTTTGACAAACAGCTATGAAAGAAAATGAGAGACACATTAAAACAGCATGGTGTCTCAGAACTTGTCCTGCCAAGCATGAACTTGTTCACAAGTCTCCCTCTCCCATAGAAGAGACCCTTGTGCTGAATTATTTCACCCAGTACAAGGCATCATATCTATATATATATACAATATACAGATATACACACCTAATAAAATAATAAAATACTAGACTGAAAGGCAGACTACAGCTTAGAGTTGGAGGTTATGGCTTGGAACGTTGAATCTGTCTTTTTTCTATCCTAAGCTATTAGTTATTTCAGAGAGCTATTTCTTCTATCTTTCTTCTAGACTACATAAAGCTTTCAAATAGAAATCTAGCCAGAAGGAACAAATTACTGTAAATTATTTTGTTTTCATTACATGGTAATTTTCAAAGGGGAAAAAAAATTGTTGCTAAAGATGTTATCAAACTTTTAGTGACTGAAATTCTTGCTGCAAAAAGAAAGGACCCTTCCTTAAACTATTTGTCACTTTGAAAAAAAAATTAAGAACCTGTGCTGCATTTTTAGATAAAGAATTAATAAAAATTAACAGAAGATTTTTTTTTCCTGTTGCTGGTTTTCAAAGATGCAGTTTCTACTGCAAGTGTGAGCTTTTAAATAGGACAGAAAACTGTCCTATTTAAAATAAATCCTGACTACATCTGGATTGAATTTTTCTTGCCCCAACTAATATTACTGTGATTTCAAAGATATTCTCAATCCAAACCAGGGCAGCTTCACAAAAGGCACCCAGCATAACATGGCCATCAGGAAAAATAGCTGGAGTTTGAAGAACTGCAGAGGAGGTGGTCTGATAAATAGAGAAAGCACCATGCTATTTAGTATTCTAGGGTATTTCTTTCTCCAAGTCTCTTCAAAATAAATTTAATTTTGCACAAATGGCATTTATCAGACAGCTATTTATCATAACCAATTGTCCAATTATTAAAGCATTCATCTGGGATGCAATCCCCTACTTGAGTTCATTGTCTGACAACAGCCGTCTCAAGTACTTACAGCTCTCATGACCTTGGATGTCACCAAAAATACTGAGGTCTTTAAAGGGATTTTCAGAGGTAAGTAATCCTCTCTTTTTCAAAATATCTATACTTCTGCATTGATAACAGGAGACAGAATAAAAAGTCAAGATAACATCAGTAGGGCCAGGACTTCTTAAAGAAGTTGGTCATTGTCATTACCACTGACTTAACCCACACATCTGTTCTTCAGCCTCCCACTGATACAGGTAACATCAGAATACCCACCACTTTTGTAAATGCTTTTAACTGATGAACAAATTTCAATTTATAAGCACTACATTGCTATTTAACTTAAGGTCACTTCTAAACCTTGTACATTAGTTGCACAATCCAGGATGACACATACTACCATTTCCCTGTAAACAGAAAGCTCCTGACTGCTTTGAAAGCAAAGCTTTCCTCTTCTGCCCTGAAGTGACAACGGAAAAGTTACTATAAAGTTCTGATTCACCTCAGTAATGAGAGGTAACATCTGGTCTCATTGCATATTCATTAAGTCCATTTGAGCCAGATTTTTCATTTCTAGATGTAATGGCTTTGGGAATAACTAGATATTAATTTGTTTCAAACTGAGCAGCAGCAGAGGTAGAAGTGGAGCGCTGCTCATACTAATGAGAAGGTGCTGCCACCTCTCGCACAGTTCAGCAAAGGGAAATAGGATGGTCCAACTCAATGTAGCTGTGTTCTTTCTCTTTTAATATATTAATGATAATCTTTTTCCCCCTTCCTCAGATGGAAAAGAAAACAGATGGAAATATATTTCTCAGCTGATGCCTCCAGCTAAAGGACTGCCTTTCATGTTTCTTTAGTTCATCATTCAGTAGCAGTCATGTCTTTCTTTCCATATACCAGCAAGGCAGTGGTCTTATCACTGATTTTTTTCTTCATTCTTGCAGAGGAAACATTGGTATTAATATCGTTACCCCCGGGGTTTTAAAAGAACCCAAAAAAGCTGGGGAAATTCCCCCAGAAGCTCAAGTCAAAGTGAATTTTGAGAGGGGGTTAAGCTCTCTACAAAATAAACCAACAACCTCTCCATGCCCTAAAGATCTATATAGATGTGTTCTGTCCAATCACTGCATCTTGTGAGTAGTAATGCATTTTCCTTACCATACTTACTGCTAAAATTGTCATCAAATGCATGTTGAGGAACTGAGCCCCTAGAGATTAAAGGTCAGTTTTTCAACTGTATTAGCACTCAGTGGCACAGACTGAGATTTAAAATATTTTGAAGTACTGGAAAGAGAATGCAGTTATAATAACTCCATTACCACTCATGACCTTCAGACCGTGAGCTGCAGAGTTTTTTTCCAAATGAAGGTGCACAAATCCTTTTAAGACCTGACCCCATTCACTTATCCAGGAGCACAGAAATTGTGTTGTAAAGAAAAGTACTGAACCTGGATCTGCCAGGGTCTAGCAGGAGAGAGCAGAAATTAAGATATAATGGCTCCCAGACACTAAGTTAACCCTCAGATCTAATGTATATAGTGAGAGGAGACCAGCAAAGTTAGTGTTTATTCCTTTTAAGCTGTACAAAATCTTTATATATAAAGGAAAGAGGGATTTGGACATGAGCATCTGGCCTCATTTCTTCACAGGCCAGACCACACAGAAAATTGAAAAACAAATATTAGCTTTCACAAGTGTAAGATATGTTGTCTCTCTGTTCTTCTGCAGGCATGGTGAGGTGGGAAACCCACCACTGTGAGGAGTTTAATCATTTGGTCAAAGACCATGGCACTGCCAGGTCCCTGCCACCTACCGTCCCATCCCCACCACATGCCAGGATCCGCAGGTTCGGCACTTTTCTGTACAGCTCCAGCCTGCCCAGGGAGGAAAAGGGGGGGAAAAGGAGAAAAATGTAAGAACAGTAATGCAGACATTTTTAATGCATTTTGCTGAGTGACAATGTAACCACCACTTACTGCATTTTCAAATATTCATTGCTAAAAATATGAGTAGAATAGAAATGAGAAACCACTAGGATGTGAAATGAGGCCTTCCTCCATGTTAGGAAAGTGTTTGATCAGTTTAGCAACTTCCCAGATTTTCACATTCCCTCTAGGGAGGTCAAAACCTTTCATTTTTTTTCTTACCCTAAAGAAAATAAATTTAAACTGAGGTTTTAAAACAACATTTAATGTTCTTCCTTATGACTTGTTGAGCTACCATTTCTGAGTCTTGTATAATGTGACAGCTTCTTCAACTAGTGACTGTATTTTAACACCACAGAAGGCAAGAATATGTAATATAGAGTTCTTTCTGGATATGTGATCTAAATATCAACAGGAGAGTCCAAAAAAAGCACCCTTTGAAGTCCTGATCCTTCAGTTGCACCCTTCATACAATGCCATCGTGAAATATTTGTTAATGAAGGTGGGGACATTCACATGTAGAGAGCTGAGTGACTAGAGGAACTAACCCTCCTTTTCCCCATTATACAGCTCTGAAAAATGTGTGTTTAACTTAAAGCTTCTAAACATCATGAGAGAACAGCAGTGCAGGTGCTTCTGCAGAAAAATAAAAAGCTTGGGTGCCTTGAATAGGAAACACTTGGACTGCTCTTCTACAGGCAAATATTTGATTTTGCATTATTGCTATAAAATATTTATAGTAATAATATTTAGAAACACATACAAAACATATTTAGAAAATGTGAAAGCAGTTCTGAACAGATGGTTAAGAAAAGCCAGTATCCCCATGTCAAGTACCACAGAAGGATGGTTTCTCACCCCTTGGCAGCAAAACTCAGCCCTTTATAAGGAGAGATACCCTCTCCCTTGGAAGAGGTTTGCTCTTCAATTACTGTCTTGCTAAGCTGAGTTAGTTACTCAGTGAGCAGGGACACACAGTCTGGAGGCAGCCTCACCTCACTGGAATGCTCATTCATTAGGCATTGAGATCAGGCATTGGGATCCTCAGTGATCCTTGAAGCCATCTGGACTTGCCTCTGTCTGGACACAGGGGCAGCTCCTGACCTCTTCTCACAAAAGCCCCCACTGCAGCCCTTCCCTTGCTACCATAACCTGGATATGTAAACCTCACACAGTCACTAATCCAGCCAGGCTGGATCTTTTCCTGTTTTCCTGACCAGACCAGAAATAGGCGGCACAGCAATGAAGGCTCCACTACTTACGCATCTCTTGGCCCTTCCTGAGAGAGATCAAAGACCTGGCGTGGATTCAAATACCACATAAACATTTGGAGAACCTTGGTGCCCTGACAAGAGAGAAAAATCAAAGGAAGGGAAGTTATGAGCAGTTTAATGATTATTGGAAATATTGTGCATTACTCACTGTATCTCAACTGCTTTTATTTTTCTGTGCTTTATAAAGCCAATACAAAACAAGAAGACAAAGTAGAAAGTGGCATAGCAAATGACTGCTCTAGAATAGCAATCCAGGACGAGGTGCACATGTAGGCATATAGACCAATTTCAACAACACAGATCACTAATGGTCCGTAAGAACAGGCAGCTGGGGTCAGACCAAAGGTTCATCTCCCACAGCAACCTGTTCTCCTGCTTCTCATTACCTGCAACAAAAAGCAACCTCTGTTATCCCACCTCACCCTCAGCTATCCATGACAGCAAGAAGTTGAACAAGGTTGTAGCCAAAGTCTCCGTCTCCAGCATTGAACAGTGTGCTGCTCAATGTCCAAGCAATGACAGTGGCCTCCACTATCACCACAATGATCATTCATCATTGTAACCTCTACCATCTAATGAAGCAGGAGTCAAGAACTTTGTGGGGTACAACTGTCCCAATGGTCCCTCATTCTATGTAGTGTGGCCAGCCCACCACCTAAAGGTATAATTTCTGTATTCTCAAACTCTGAAGTTCATATTCCCACTCAAATCCCTTCCTTCAACGTTCTGCCCAGACACAAAGTAACAGGATCTCTTACTAGTAGCAGAGAGCTAAGAACTCTATGGGCTGAGCTTGTACTCTAATTCAAGAATGCCTTTCAGACATGGCCTGAGGGTACACATCAGGAATTTTCCATAGATCTCCCTTCCTAGGGATGGCTCTTCTGCCTGACACCTTCCCTGACAAACCAAGAATAGCAGTTGTAGTAGCTAGGAAAAGGTATAAGAAGACAGAAAATAAATGTGATGTTTGCTATAGGTATTCTTCCAGTCTCAGCTGTGTGCAGTTCATACAACTCTTGAACCAGAGGGAGGTACAGGACATCATGGTTTTTCACATCCAAACATCTGCTCCAGCCTGTGTAATATCTCCTCCAGATGTGTTTAGCATCCACCACATCCTAATTCAAAGAGTTTTTCACTGAACTACAAACTGTGAGAAGAACCAGCTTTTTCCTTTTGTTTTGAATCAGTCTAAACAGTTTCATTTGATATCCTCTGTAATTCTAACACAGGAGAAAATGAGCAGTGCCTATACTACTCTCCATGCTCTATAGGCCTCTGTTGTATCTTACACTAATATTTTCTATTACAAGGCCCTTTATTGAAAGGCACTCCAATTCTTTGATATTCAAAAAGTGGCAGAACCGGGAAAATATTCACTTGGGTAAGTATTCATTCCAAGAATCCTAAGGAAGAAGTCTGCTCCATTTTAGTCACTGCAGCTTGGTCTCTGTGGTACAGTACAAGACCACTGCTGATTTTTTTAGGTGCCATAGGGATATGTCATTTCTCATTCAGAAATTTAAATTAGCCTTTCCTAGCAAAGCTAGACCACATTTTTGGATAAAGTCTAAAATCTTCACTGGAAACCTAAATTCTTTGTGAAAAGATGAAATCTTCTGAAAAATTCCAAAGTATCATTTTAGATTCCTTTCAAGAACCTGAAGATAGGAGTACAACCACTCAAATACTCAAATATCCATTCCAGTCATCCAACTCTACTGAAGTAGAAAGACCATTCCACATCAAGGACCTTTTCTGAGGAAGGTCTTCAGGCTTCTTCAGGCATAGAGTCCTTTCTATCTGACTGGCCAAGAAATAGAGTCATTTGCACAAACCCTGCTGTTAAACTTCACAATCCAGACCCAGCTGATATTCTTACCTGATTCCCTCCACTTTTTGGATTGACAAAAACCAGCAGTGGTTTCATGAGTGGAGAGGAGATAGGTTTTATCACAAAAGGCCGGCCTTTGTTATCCTGAGAAACAGAAGCAATAAACAGCTTCAATACAAGGGACGTAAGTTTCTTTGGCATAGCACACACAGAAGACCCAACCTAGCTCTGACAAAACTACCTCAGGTACTGGAAATAGTACAGCCATGTCAATGTGGTGCCCAGTTGAGAGCAATTTATCCAGCTGAGACAACGGAATAAAATAAGAGGGGGGAAATATCATTTCAGGGTAACTTACAATTATTTCAAAATTCTTTTGAGGTTATTTCTGACCCTATTCCCCACAATTATTCACACAACACTACTAACGCGTCGGAGACAGTGTTATTTCTAATACAAACAGTTTTTCCAAAGTAAAATAGAATGAGGTAAGTTACTTTTTCCATTAATTCCATCTAACAGACAAGTTGCACAAGCAATTATTTGCAGATAATCTGCTCTCAAATTCTTGGCCTTACCACCTTCCCACCTCTGAACAAATGCCACAGATCCAACATGACACATCCTTGGGAAAACTATTTGCCTGCCTACTCCTTAGCCCCTGCAGGACACCCCAGAGCCCAGTAATGAAGGCACTGTCCTAGGCTTTCACAGACAGTTTTCAGTTTCTGGTCTGCAGTTCTCCCACCATGCAGTAAAGGACTTGAACCAGAGAGCCCTGTCTATGCAGGGGTGAGTCTCCCCCTACCTCTCCTATGAGACTGTTTGTCTAGATAATTAATCCACTAGGAAGGATATGGAAGCAAGTTCTTCCATAGGCACATAGTAAATACACCAATAGATCAATAAACCGCTGTCTCTCTCTGTGGTCCAATTTTAATACGAGATCCCCTGAAGAAGACATCTGAAAACGGATCACATCCAGACCACAGCCTTGCATCAGTGCACTTACCATGGGTTTCACAACCCCAGTTTCACATCCCTATTCTGCTTAGTGGAAAAAAAGGGTGGGAGCTAAATTTCTTACATCCAAAGGGAACACACTTTCTTTAGGGTGCTGGTCCTTCTGGAGTATGGTACATCATTTCTTGAAAAAAATCAACTCAGAAAATAAAACTTTTCATATGAGTTTTATCTCTTCTAACAACAAATTCAATACCATGGAATTTCCCAGGGGAAAAATGCATTAAACGTTCCAGTGAAATAAAGGAAAAAAAAGCCTAAAAAACTTTTAACTCTGTGTTTAGACACTTAAACAAAAGGAGCATGATTTCCAAAGCACTTGAATACCTACTTCATTTCCTCTTTTACTGGCTTTTCTTTTAAAGGATGTTCTCTTCTTTCGCCTTGTTGAAGTCTTTAAGGAGTTCTACATCGAAGGGAAAAAAAATACATGAAAAGCAAAACAAAATTTAGAAGACAGGCCCAGACAGAGCCCCTTGACGAAGCTCTTCCATGCATGTCCACTTGGAGAATGATAAGAGTATCTGGCACATGCTCGAGATTTAAATTACATGCGCTGCATGCTTTACACTTCCACACCACCGTTTATGGAGAAAGCCACACACGGAGACCAGACTGGTGCTTTGGAACCGGAAACTTTCCCACGCTGTGAGGGGGGAAAAAAGATCAGATGCTCCCATAGACTCACATAACACCACATGTTGTACCTGCCAACCCTCCCAAAAGGGGTAGGAGACGCCCGTTTCCCCTTCGGGGCTCCAGTCTCCTGCCCAATCAGGCTCGTCTCCTGGTATGGAGACCACCTGCATAAAGATGTAATAAAAAAACATGATAAATAAGATATTTTTCATGTTTTTTTGTTTGCTCTTTTTTTTTTAAGGAAAGAAAACAAAAAGTTTTAGCTCTGGCAACCATTATGACTCAACATAACATAGGCCACCATGGCATATGATGCTGGCACTATAGAGTCAGTTCCAGCCTATCAAGAAACTTGTGCAATCATCTGCTTAGGAAGAAACTGAATTGCTGATTTTTAAAGATTTAAGTAGAGAAGGTGTTTGTTGGCTGATTTTTTTTTGTTGCTTTTTTAAATAAAAATATCACAACTACATAGGAAAATGTACAAGTGCTTGTATTTCTGCAGAACCTATTAAAACAGAACTTATGTTAAGTCTATTCTCCAGGTAGATGACAGTCTGCTCAGTGACGTGGAACAAAAAGGTGTTCTGGGGTGATAAGAACAGTAAAAAGGGGAATTTTGGTTGGTTTTGGGGTTTGGTGGGGTTTTGTGGTTTGTTTTTTTTTTTGTTTGTTTGTTTGTTTTTTTATTTTAATTCATTAATTGAAGTTATACCTGCAGGAAATCCTAACCATTTCCATAATTGAAATTTTGTCTTATGGGAAATACTCTAAATACTTTTGCAGTATTTCAACTTCTAGTCTAACCATCACCAGGAAATAAAGTAGCATGAGGAATTAGAACAAAGTTCATTGTTTGTTTATTTTTTTTCCTGGATATAAGAGGGAAAGCCAGATTCACTCAGCTCATCTGAAAGTTCTTTTCTGTCCTGACCTTGATCAGATGTGTACCACTAAACAAGCAGAGATTATCAAATCTGTAAAAAGTGATGTTTAGTCTTAATCCTGCTCACTATCCAACATTAACAGGAATAGCTACTAAGTTTTGTTTAATACACATCAACCACTTTCAGAATTTCAAGACTTGAGTATGACATGCCAGATGCATAAGTTAATGCTTCCACATCCTTGAGAAGAAAAACTAACAGCTATCTAACTGAAATACCTAAAGGCATTGCCCTCTGTCACACAGACCAAGAGAAGCCTGCCATAGAACACAAGGTCCCAAGTTCTCAGCATTTCTAAAGAATGAAATAGTCACGCCTTATTGCTTACTGAAAATACTGAAGACAAGACAGCTCTGTAGAGCAATGTCAGGAATTGCCCTTTTAGGCCATATTTTGAGAAACTACCTAAAGAAGTGTTCTTTAGAAGAAGTTCATAATCTTCCCTATGCTGATACAAAGTGATCTTGAAAGCATGATAAACCATAAAGACTGCACTGACTACCAAGTGCATCAGCAATCCCATCCGCATGGTCTTGTGCTGCCCTACCTCAGTAGTGACATTGACTGCAGGCAAAAGTCTTGATGACAACAGAAAGTTATGGGGGCATTACATTCAAAGCTGCCTCCCATGGGGGCCTTAGCACAGTTCCTCAGGCATTCTCTGAAGGATTCTTCCTGAACACAGGTCAGAGAGGAGATCTAGTCTATCCACACTCTTGTTAGCAATGTGCTGAAAGCTCACACGCATACCAAGGGTAAAGATGGCTCAGTAAAACCCTGACTAATTATAAAAGAATAACTAAAAAAATGCTTAAATGTAGTTGTCATTAAATCCCACAATAATGTACCTAACAGTGGGGTGGGAAAAGGCATACAGCTATATTAAAGAAACACTTTAAGGTTAAGCCTCCATTCACGGTTATAACGATTTTCATTTCCGTACTTAAAAAGGCACTAAATGCTGCATCTCTACAATGTTATTTCATCTTTTTTTTAAATTTTTTTTTCAAACATGCCTACCCCTAAAGTGTTAACAGAACCTGAATCTTTACTGCAGTAATTGCAACCTTGTGTCCGTAGCAGATGAACCACAGAAAGCTGCTTAGACATAAGCAGAGGTTTTCTGAAAACATGCAGCAGAGTAACAGCCAAAGAGTATCAGCAGTCTTTGCACACTGAAGTGAAGAAATGGATATATCATATCTTGTTCACAGAACAAGGTAATGAGTGTTTTGTAAACAAACAATGTTATTTAGCAAGCTATCTGATAGCAAAGCATACCTTTAAATGGGCACAATAAGTAAATCCTAACTTCCCTCTAGAGAGGAAACCTCTCCTTTGTGGATGTCAGTTTGTCCATCTTCAAAAAGAGATTTTTCATATTATTGAATGGTCAGTATAGGTCTCAGAAAACTTAGGTAGATGAAGAGAGTAATTGGAGTCCTTCTTGTAAGGTGTGGGATGGTGTGAAGGCCACAGACTACCTCAGACAAATCCAATGAAACCTTTCAACCTTTTCCTTTGCAACATTTCATCCTCAGTTTTCAAAGGCTTTTAGTACACTGATTTTCAAATTACTCTAACAACAAACAGCATCTGGGAAGGTCAATCTTGACCATCTTCTGGTTGTTCCCAAACCACTATCAGACAAGCCAGCTGCACTCAGGAATTGAGGAAATATAGAAATAAGCCCAGAAATGTAAGTATTCACTAGAACTAGTTCACAGTCCTCAAAGGAAGAGAAGAAAACACCAATTTACTCACCTTGAACAGAAAAACCTTGGAATTTTACAGTTACTGCCTTTGTCTTCCCAAACAGAAGACGGACTAAATGAGTAAATCCATCAGTCAGATCCTCCTTATCATCTACTTTTCTTCCACAACACAAGCATATAGCAAGTACACTGCCAGAGCTAACATCACTTTGCCTACCCATCCTCACCTATAAGGAAATACCACCAGTCAACAAGGGTGACCTGCTTCACAAACTAGGAGATGGAATTGTTTTGAACCCCAGGAAAACAGAGCTGGTATCAAAGCACTGCCAACAATACAGAAATACTGGAAATCAGTAGAAAAGTTACAGAAGTGGCTCACATTACAGATAAGACGGAAGAGGTATTAGAGTTTTCCATTCATGTAAGGGGGTCACTACACACAGGGCTACCACCAATTCCAAAATGGTTTGAACCATTCTGAATATTCTTCATCTTTAAATCAGTTGCTTGTAAGAAGCAAAAGCTCCCCATTTAGACCATAGATGTTAGTATAAATTTGTTCTTAACCAATTACACCATGATGCTTCACTACCTCAACGTTTTTGGTAATGAGACACAGAGTGTGGTCTTCATGCAAGCCTAATATTTGAAAGGTGGTGACCCACGTTGTACAAAATAAGCATGGAAAACCATTTTTGTGGCAGTCAAAAAATAAAAAATTGTAAAACAGAGCAAGGTTTTGCTACAAAACACCATCTTATTTACTTCAAGGAAACCACAAACAAACAGGATGCAGGCACCACTAAAATCAATTTTATATGAGTGGGGAATTCAGTTCAGGAGTTGTCTGTGACCAATGTAAGTAGTTAATTAGAGCTGAGGAAATATTTTATACCCAAAAAGCTTCTAGCCATATTTATTCTGACTGTGAAATATGTGAAAAACACATTGTTGGTTACACATTCTTTTTTTTTAATGGAAATTACAACAATTTCTAAACATTGTGTTTGTGCTCTTTGGATTAAGTGATGTGAATAATTCATAGTGTTTACCAAACATTTCTATAGGGTGAAGAGGATCATAATACATAGAAGTAGAGCTGGCCAGAAACAGCAGGAGAGGAAAAATATTTCCTAAGAAAACAATAAAGAAAACTAGACTTCTGCCAAAAAATCTGAAAATGCATCCAAAAGATGCATCACTATATTCTAAAGTAATAAGGATGCATTTCCCGTAACTCCAATGGGTGCTATTTGGAAGCCTCATGGAAATGTACCCATTATCTGTGTTAAATACAATTTTGATCTATTTAATGCTCCAGCTACTGAAGATAAAGTGTTGCATTCTACTGACCATGAATTTCAAGGATAGAGATGTGATTGCTAGTTAATAATCAAGTACTTTCTCTGTGCTCATGACTTAGGCACACAAAGCTAACAGCTACTTTCTTTTGGCTTAACATTTTAAGCCTTTATTTAAAAAAACATCTTTTCCATAAATTATAATTACTTAGATTAGATTAATTTTTTAATTTAAAGTTTAAAAAAATGGAGAAGAAAGGAAATTCTCTACAAATATTATAAGGAAGATATACCCTACTTTGGGCAAAAGCCAAATCAAAAGAAAATTACACATCAGGGTTTGTTTTTTGTTTTGTGGGGTTTTTTCCCTTTTTTAATAAAAATTAAGTAAAATAAGAATTAAAATTATTGAAGAAATCTTCTTTTAGTAAGGTCAAACATGGATACATCTGTCAAATACCACACAGTTGCTGAAAATTAGTCAAGGATATTAAGTCCCTGCCAAGGACTCAAACATTCCTCAACAAAAGAGAAAAAAGTATTTCTCTGAAGGAGACTGAGTAAAACAGAGAAAAGAGTGTGGGGGAAATCTAAAAATGGCAAAAAAGCCTTTTCCTCTCAGAGTGGAGGTGGCTAGGAATATTGCAATGCTTCATCTTAACCAAAGGGAAAAACAGAGGCTTCTTTGGTTGATTTTTTGATAACTCTATCCATGTATTTCCTCTGCCCCTTGTCTTTAACAAACAGCTTCCTACTTATGCCCAAATCCGTCACATCCCTAAACTGGAACTAAAGGCAGTGTCACAATTTAGGCCTTCTTCTGGTTTCATGGACTTTTGTCTTAGTGCCTTGGCTACAGCCTGAACTTCTTAGCTTCTTCTTGACAGCCAGGAGGCAGAGTCAAAAAGCCCAGGTCACTTCCCAAGGATGGGCTGAAATAAAGAATATTATTCTGAAATAAAAAATTTAACCAGCATTTCTGACTCCCTGATATGTTCAGTGTTTGTTTCTTTCAGCTCAAGTTGGAGTAAAAACATATTTTCAAAGAAAAAATTATTCTAGCATGATGTGAACCCCCTTTTAATTTCTGGCCAACTCGACCATGAATTTCAAGGATAGAGATGTGATTGCTAGTTAATAATCAAGTACTTTCTCTGTGCTCATGACTTAGGCACACAAAGCTAACAGCTACTTTCTTTTGGCTTAACATTTTAAGCCTTTATTTAAAAAAACATCTTTTCCATAAATTATAATTACTTAGATTAGATTAATTTTTTAATTTAAAGTTTAAAAAAATGGAGAAGAAAGGAAATTCTCTACAAATATTATAAGGAAGATATACCCTACTTTGGGCAAAAGCCAAATCAAAAGAAAATTACACATCAGGGTTTATTGGTTTTGTTTGTTTGTTTGTTTTTTGTTTTGTGGGTTTTTTTCCTTTTTTAATAAAAATTAAGTAAAATAAAAATTAAAATTATTGAAGAAATCTTCTTTTAGTAAGGTCAAACATGGATACATCTGTCAAATACCACACAGTTGCTGAAAATTAGTCAAGGATATTAAGTCCCTGCCAAGGACTCAAACATTCCTCAACAAAAGAGAAAAAAGTATTTCTCTGAAGGAGACTGAGTAAAACAGAGAAAAGAGTGTGGGGGAAATCTAAAAATGGCAAAAAAGCCTTTTCCTCTCAGAGTGGAGGTGGCTAGGAATATTGCAATGCTTCATCTTAACCAAAGGGAAAAACAGAGGCTTCTTTGGTTGATTTTTTGATAACTCTATCCATGTATTTCCTCTGCCCCTTGTCTTTAACAAACAGCTTCCTACTTATGCCCAAATCTGTCACATCCCTAAACTGGAACTAAAGGCAGTGTCACAATTTAGGCCTTCTTCTGGTTTCATGGACTTTTGTCTTAGTGCCTTGGCTACAGCCTGAACTTCTTAGCTTCTTCTTGACAGCCAGGAGGCAGAGTCAAAAAGCCCAGGTCACTTCCCAAGGATGGGCTGAAATAAAGAATATTATTCTGAAATAAAAAATTTAACCAGCATTTCTGACTCCCTGATATGTTCAGTGTTTGTTTCTTTCAGCTCAAGTTGGAGTAAAAACATATTTTCAAAGAAAAAATTATTCTAGCATGATGTGAACCCCCTTTTAATTTCTGGCCAACTCTCTTTTGGATACCTTTTTTCCCTGTTGTGTTCAGCAGTGAATTACCCTCTCCAAGACCTACCACATCCATCACAAAAGCTTTGAAGTCCAATGCCTGTTATGTGCAACAATGAGCGTGTGGGTTTGTTTACTGCTGACTAAACAAGCACTGGTGCAAGTAAGTTCTGATTCTCTGCATGTCCATTAAAGGCAAATTCTGAGGGATGCCAGTCCAGACACAGCCAATTCTTACTGCAGTTCAAGTCAATGTTTGTGAAGTTTTTCCCTGTATTTGCTCAGCTCTATTTAATGAAACATGCTTGACTGCCTACCACACAGGATATCTTGCAGTATGCTTGCTGAACTCACAGTTACAGGAACAACTCTGAGCTGAATTAGCTCAGAACGAGTCATGTTTGTTGCTAATCATCCCAAACAGGGAAATTCACTAAAGGACTTGATGGAGGGGAAGGAGGATACAGGTTCATAACCACCATGGATGTATGCTGGGTTTCAGGGATAGAGGCAGGGTTGAACAAGCATGCCTTGGTGATGGAGGACCAAGCAGAGAAGCCAGGCTGGCCCTGCACAGCCAGACAGGCCCTGCACAGCCAGACAGCTTCAGAAACAGACAGCATGCAGTTACCTGAGGTTTCTTCACCTTAATGATCCAGGTGGGAGGCACAATGACAGCAGCATGAGCCCCCAGGGAACATGGCTCCTCAATGTGATGTAGCATGAAACAGGTGACTTTGTTATGAAACTGGAAGAGAGGGAAAGAATAGAGTCAAGAAAGACAAAGGGGAAGCCTGGAGAAGAAGAAGAGAGTGATGGTACAAAAACTGAAGCAATATTCCCAACTCCATCATCTTCAAGTTCTTCAATGTATGGAGATTTAGGAGATGTAGCTAAAGATTATCTTCCTAAGCCATGTCTTCTTAGGAAAAAAATTAAAATAAAAAGACACAAGTGAAAACAAACCAAGACAAACAAAAGCACTAAACCAACAAACAAAAAACCCCCACAATCACTCCTAGTTAAACCCAGTCTCCTGAAGTATTTTCCACTTACCGCCAGCTTGCACCAGGAACAACTGATGGCCACAATCTCTTTACTGTGGAAGGAGAATTTCTGCTGAAAGCCCTAGAACAACCGGGGAGGAAAAAACATTAAATTCCTCTTCACTATAAGAAAATATATCTCTCTGTATATATCTCTATATATGTTTATATATCTCACTCTAGCCAGGTAAGTGTTCTGGGCTAGCAGATTTTTGGGGGATAAAACAATTACAGGAGGTAACGAAGAAGGTTCTTCCACTGGGGCATATTCACAACATTCTTTTAAAAGGATTTCTGCATGTTTTTTCACTTTTCCTTAAATTTTTTGTAGTTAAAAACAATGGAAGAAATAGGGAAGAAATGTCTATTTTAATTTTTAATGGATTTCTATAGACTTGAAAGTTTCAGATTTTCTGTTGAACAAAGTGTTTTGTCATTGCAGCCTTGTTTGTTCTAAATATAAACAAGAATTTGAATTTTCCTTTTTTACTACAGAGCAGAATTACCTTTTTTTTAAGACAGAGCAAAATTAACTACAATGTCTCTCTGGGAATGCTATGACAGGGAAATGAAGTGATTAAGTTTATAATTTTATTGAACTCACTCAGATTAAAATCTTTCCAGTAAGTTCCAAAAAAACCCAATATGGCTTGATTCAGATCTCACAATTAAAATAAATTATTTCTTTGTATTTTTAAGGCAAGAAAAGCCCAGCCCAACCAGAAAATGCAATTTTATTCTCCTAGAGAGGAGCTTCTTTCTAGAGAATGCAATATGACTTTGCTGTAAATTCTAAGGCTGGAAGACAATTGGGTCATATATATCCTTCTGCATGCAACACAGGCAACAAACAATAAGATACAGTCTGTAATTTTGAGCTGAGTTAAAGGTTAATTTAGACAGAGATAAAAAAATTTTGGGTTGATGGCTGGAGAGATGGAAAGCCTACAGTTTCAGTGAACAGTTTGTCAGTTGTCCTTACTGCTTAGATTTCAGATTTGCACTTGGTTGGATCCCTTTTTCATGGCCTTCCATCAATCCTCCCTCTACCTCTGTAAGTAGCCCATCACCAACCAGAATTTTCTAATTCAGGCTCTCTACCAAGTGATGAATCTGTGAGCCAGTTTTCTTTTCAACAAGCTGAGTAATACCTAAATCTCCTACATGCTGGAAAATGCCCAAGGCCCAACGCAAAAAAAAAGTTATAAGCTGATTTAGTAACGTCTAACAGGTCATTGCCTCACTGCTTCTGTTATTAAAGTCCTTCTTACCCTGCAGGACAAATGAGCCTATTAGTGCTCAGTGAAATTTAAAGGTCAAGTGCTGTTGGAACCCAGAGCATCTCTCTGGATGCCCTGGATGTCTAAGAAGAATTAAATAAACAACCAAAAAAAACATGCAGAGATGCCTTGGTCTTCTGAAGTGAGGTGTTGAGCTACAATCTGTCTATACATGGTGGCTGAGAACAATTCTGTTGATAGTCAGAACAGGAGGAGGCTCTACCTGTCTGCCCAGAATGCAGAAGTACATCTTGCAGCTTCATATACAGGTGTCTCCAGCATGCACTCAAACCAGTTTGCCACATGAACCTCATCACCAAGACCAACTCCTGAAAAGGCTTGTGTCACCTCTGACTAGATTTTTGCAGTTTTGTTTCAATCCTTCCCCTAATGCCTCAGGGTTTACATTCAGAGAAATTCAAAGAGTAGGTTTTCCATAATGATTGTGATTTGGCATATTCAGGTTTAGCAATGGAGTGTAGTGAAGTGGCTTAAAAAAGACAAGCTGGCCAGATACTTCTGGTGGTCACATCTTGCCTGCCATTCAGTGTGAGCATAAGAGCAATAACTGTTATACAAGTGCCGGAACAGAGGTCTGACACTAGACAAAACACTCTTTCCTCATTTACTTACTCTAGTGCTTCACAATGTTTCTAACAAATCTCACTCCTCCTTGTTCCAAAGTGCATTAAAATAAAAAATAATTAATTCAGTTCCTCATGGCCACAAAGTGTTCTGGTTTTCTGGTTTTTTTCTGCTTCGTAACATCAATGGGAAAACCTTTCGCTCCTAAAATCTCCTAAAATAAAAGTCTAAATTCAGTACATTAATTCCACAGCCCATCAGCTGTACACTTTAAACATATGGACTGAGAAGCTAGTCTGGTTCTGTATGGATCATTTTTCATTTATTTAGTAAGCCATTTAGCTTTTAGGGAGTCATTAGAGAAAATTATACAGAAATAAAAACATATTCATAATAAACAGCAATAAACCACCACCTTCCTTCCTCAAATTGCTTTACAAATGTGAGCTAATTCTTCCTAAGGATAGAAGTTTCAGATAAGATGGCATTTATTTGAAAGCTAGCTTCACAAATAAAGTAATTGATAAAACTGATAAAATAAACCGTGCTTTGTAAGTCACACGGAGATTTGGCAGAGACTATTGGACTGAAACATAGGAACCCTCCATATTTCACTAGAAATCATATTTTCTGCCTTCTCTGAATGAGAAGAAGCATTTCAGATGAATTTCAGATATCTTCAATTATGCAAGGAGGTCTTCTGCACCAAATTAGAAATTTTGAGATTGAAAATTAATTTCACCTTTCTGAGACAATCAGGCTAACAGTATATGATTAGCACTGATTCTCCAGCAACCAATCCCTCCACAACACATGAAACCCCATGTTGTGAGCTGCTCCAGTAGAAATAAATAGTTGTGCATACCAGAAAAAATGTACTTGTAGGAAAAGTGTGCCTGAATGGCCACAAAGCCAGCTTGTGTTGGTAATTCAACTTGTCTGAATAGTTTAGATTAAAGTACAAATTAACATAGACACCTGTGCACCAAAGACAGCGCATAGGGATTGCTAGTTCTGATATGTTCTATTTATATTCACAGAAGCCATTGATTATTAAAGAGCATTTTCACACCAGGGCTACTAATAATTTTATTTTTTTTGCAAGTACTTTCCTTCTAAAGATTTTCTCTTTTTAGTGCTCTTAGAGATACCCTAATGCAGCATAACTGCAGGAGAGACAGGTATGGTTACAACTCGAATACAGGCTGCAACAGAAGCACTTGGATGGTGACCTCTGCTAAAATAACAAAGAACTAGAATGACCTTTCAAGCACTAGAAATTTCACTCTTAACTTTACATTCAGTCCTGCATCAATCCACAGGCCTTTAAAGGGACACAGTGACGGAGATTCTGTAGACAGACATCTGTGTGGAAGACACCCCACTCTGGACACCACAAAAGGTTAAAGAAATATTGTTTGTTTAGCATTACGGTCCAAAATATGTTCTCAGTCTCAGAAAACCCCTCAACCACTGCTAACTGGAAGCACATTAGAAAAAGATTCCTTTTCATTTATCCTTAAGATTCTATTACTGTACATAGTTATGAAATGAATTCTGGACCACACGGTCTGAGATTTTTATGTCATATTATAGAAAAAAAAATATCCTGATTTCTCTGATGATCTCAACTAACAAATAGAGAGATTCTGTAGACACACACGGCATCTCTATGGAAGACACCCCACTCTGGACACCACAGAAGGTTAAAGAAATATTGTTTGTTTAGCACTACGGTCCAAAATATGTTCTCAGTCTCAGAAAACCCCTCAACCACTGCTAACTGGAAGCACATTAGAAAAAGATTCCTTTTCATTTATCCTTAAGATTCTATTACTGCACATAGTTATGAAATGAATTCTGGACCACACGGTCTGAGATTTTTATGTCATATTATAGAAAAAAAAATATCCTGATTTCTCTGATGATCTCAACTAACAAATAGCTAACAGCTATGAAACTGTCTTTTTTTTTTTTTTTTCTCCATGTTTCAAGAGAAAAAAAAAAAGGACTCTTAAACATCATGAATGGTGGGATGCCATGGGTTGGGAACTCTGAATTACCATCCCTTCAAACACAACAGCTATGAAGCATTAAGGAAAAGACCTAATGTGTGACAGGTTTGGAACATGAAAATGTAGTTCTTCTCATACCATATGGTTAAATTCAGGAATTTCTTGCTAAAGGATGTTGTAAATGCTACAACTTTACATGAACTCAAGGTTCAACAAGGTAAAACCACAGGAAAGATTACCATAGATTGTTAACTATAAAGGTACAATTTCTGGAAATTCATGAGACAAAACCAGAAATAGCTCTCTTGGTTACACTGCACATTCCAGGCCCCCTTCCTGGTACAAATTTCTCTATATAGTACTTCAGCAATAAATCAGTGAAATCACTCTTGAGAAGAATAAAAACCTAAAGCCTAGATGAGTTTCTATAAGTTGTATTTGCACTAGCAAGTAATGTGTAACAGGGTAGCATAGGCTGTGTTAGTACTCAAGAGATTACACACAAGAATTTTCAGATAATTTTACTCTGAATTAACTGTAGGTCTGGTTCCTGTGGACTGAATTCCCACCAGTAACTACAGAGTCAACTTCCAATTAAGTTTAATCTGAAAGGAATTCAGTTCATTTGTTACAAGAGTGTCCCCCATGTGAACCATTGCAAGTGATGATAACAAGGAAAATTTCTTTCAAAATGCACTTCTGATCTAAGGTTGAACACTGACAGACCCCTGTGTAGTCAATTTTTCAGGAAGTGTCAGCCATGGCTGACACTTCCTGAAAAATTGAATATGAAGCCACAAAAATTGAATATAAAGCCACAAGGCTATGCTAAGGATAGGGAGTGCATTAATTCCTATCCACTTGCTTATGATTTGAAGTATGAGATAGGTATATCCTGAAAACTTTCTTTATTTGAACTGTAGTTAATAATCACTAAAATATTTAATCATCCCATTCCAGGCATGAGATAGGACTATAACACAGCAAGATCTGCCAGAATCCTTAAGTATTCCATTAATAATACTTTTTTACAGCTTTAAATTTACTGTCATTCTGTTTCAATGATAGTTTCCCTTTTCTTACAAGACAAGAGAATAATAAAGGTAGCTCTTACTTGAAGGTTTTTGGAATGGTATAGTAGAGCACATGCATTTTACTGTAATAGGAGACTGCTTGGCCAATAAATATAACTGATTATTTTTGTTTTAATTTTCTCTAATTATTTGTTTTGCCAGCAAAAAACAACTCTACTACAACATACTTATGTTACTCTTAACTGAATATTTCTTATTTAAGGGCAAAACTGAGATTTTCCTTGACATTTTCTATGTTGTCTGTTTGATGGTTGGATTTGAAGACCTGTATCAACCAAGGCTGCCCATGGGTACATACCCAGCACAAGTTCTCATATGATACCTGGTGCAAAATCAACTCCAAATGCCTGTAGGGGATTCAGGCCAAGAAGGCAGAGAAGATATGATACCTGGTGAGTACTCTCATTGCAAAATCAACTCCAAATGCCTGTAGGGGATTCAGGCCAAGAAGGCAGAGAAGGATGGCAAAGTCATACCCTAAGATTGCTATGTGCAAATCGCCTTGCTGCACCATTCCCATGCTACTTGCTATGAAAGGGCATCACATTTTTATTGCATGTCCTATTGCAGCTGGTAGCTGACAGTCTGCATGAGTATCCAGATACAAATCTCATTTTCCTCTGACTGAAGCACTGTGCCATGGAGATGAGACATGGACTTTCTTACTATTTGTAAAGAGGGAGGCACAAGTATAATATATTGCTGAAGAAAGGAAACTAAATCCTTGTTAGTAAATATCTCCCAATATATTTCAGGGGTCCATAATATTTCAGAAGAAATATCTTCAGTAGTTAAACTACTTCTTCTCCCTTTTTATAGTTTTTTAGAAATAAACTTTTACAATCTATTAGGCACAGGAAACACAAAGCAGTCTCACAGATCTTAGAGGCTGCTGAGGCAGAAAGAAAGCAACAGCCTTTCTTTTCCAGGAGCCTGAAAAATAGGCCATCACAATTTTGGCACAGAGGACAGCGCTGCAAGAACATCATATTAGTACAGGGTTAGCTTATCAATTAAAAAGGTTCAAGGAGTCACAGCTTTCCTCCTCCTCCTCACTTTCAGAAGCCAGTACACCGCAACCTCCCAGGACAAATGATGTGCTCATTCCTGCAGATGCAGCTGCCTTTCACTTCCCATGTGGGAATCAGAACTGCAATGCTGGACATCACAGGCTTGTCATTAGCTATTAAAAGAGGCCAAGTGTTTGTAATAGAAAAAAAAAATGCAGTGACTAGAAGGACCTCCTGGCTACCCTGAACTCCTAAGTATCCTGTGTTGTGTTGTGCTGTGCAGGAAATCTCACCTTTCCACACTGCTTACATTTGCCCTCCTGCCTCCGCCGGTGCACCCAGTGATGCCGCACAAAGTTCTGCAAGCAAGGACAAAAAAGATGTGTTACAGGAAGCATGGGCACCTTGCACTCTGTGGTACCATCTATGTGAAATTAGTTAACAAACACCAAAGAAAATGCTCCTTCAGCCAACTGAGTAATTCCTAGAGAAAAATGAGCAGCAGGCACTGCAGGAAACCTCAAAAACCACCAAAACTGTAGGAGGAAAACACACAAGGTGGTGTTTTCTTTATTTCATTGAAATAAGGCCGGTACTACTTCCTCAGTATTCAAGTTTTTAAATATTTGATTTTATGTTTGAGATACTTCTAGAGGGGAAAAAATTATTAAGAGAGAAGAAGTGAAAGGAGTGGAAAACAGTTTATAAAAAGTAAAAATACTAGCTCAAAGGCAAGGAAGAAAAAAAATGCTACCAGAAAAAAAAAAAGGAAAAAGAATGACTGAATGGGCAAAAGACAACAGAAAGGTGAAATGGTTTCTGTCAGCATAAGTAATAAGAGTCCTTCAGCTAGAATTCATTTTACATTTATTCTGGAGAGGGGAACATACTCCACTGGGAACCAATTCTCTGTCGAAGACTCCTCTCAGTCTCAAAGCACTTCTGCAGCTGCACACCAAGGGGACCAGCGCACATGTCAAATGAAAATAAATTTGTCCATTACTTACTTCTCTTGGAGATCTGGATCCTCCTTCTCGGAAAGTTGGTTTGCAGCGAAAATTAATCTGGCATTGAAATAAAACTGTTAGAACTTAAAGTGAGCTGAAAGAAAATTTATTCCAATATCTTGATCTAGGTTAGAGTTCCAAAGTATTTATTATCTATTAAAATATTAGCTTCACTGGGTGAAAAAAGATAGTTACCTGGATGTCAGAAAAATCTCTTTTTATATGCCATATTAATTCTCCTTGCTGGACCTCCATACAACCCCCATCTTCATTAATGCTATTGCTGCCTACTCAGTTCAAATATTTCAACTGCCTCCTCCTTCTAGAAGGAAACTGCTGTATCTGTTTTGTTTTTCTGAAAATCATTTGCAAACAAGTGCAGACTTCAGCTTAGGTCTCAAAAGTCAGTAAATGCTGGAAATTTCTCTCTGTAAGACCTTTTTGCACATCCTATACTTATGTCTTCATAAACAAAATCTGTAGAAAAGTTTCCACTTACGTAAAAATACCATGAAAATTCTCATCAATTTCTACCTTTTCCTTAGACAAGGATGTTTGCATCCATTTCCCCAATGACAGATCATTTAGGGAGCATTGTACTGCCTCTTGCAGTTGTGTTGCCACTCCAAAGAGGACAACAGGAGTTCTCATGAATGGAAAACATTTTGAGGAAGGTGAAGAGAAAATAAGTATTTAATAAACAAGAAGGTAGTCCTATGAGTAAAAAGTTTTGAGAAAATAAAAACAATAGAAATAAGAATAGAGGATGTAGACACTAAAAAAGGCACTGAAGAAGAGAAAGGCCTGCACAAACTCTAAAGGATATGTGAAGTAAGGATGCACTAAATTAAACAAATCCAAGTTTGAGTTGAATATCCTTCAAAGAATTAAACATTTGAAGAAAATGCACAGCTATGCTATTGTTACAAACGTAGAATGACCAAGTTGCTCCAAAATTAAATACAACCCTCCCCATATAAATAAATTCTTCCCTCATTTAATGGTTGCCTTGAAAATCATAGTTCTAGGAGAAAAAAATATTTTTTTTAAAAGGAACACACAAAAAAAAGTAAGCAAAATACCTAGTACATATAAAGAAATGAAAGGCATTGTAATATTAGTCTTCCTCCATTGCTATTCACCTGGAATTGCAATTTGTTGTTTCACTGCTCAGTCATGGCAGGCTGGAAAGACCCAGCTTATATTTATTTTCCTTAAAATTTGCACCTTGGCAGAGAGGGTCAAGCAGAAGACTTGTGTACTAGTTTTAAACTTTATAGACTTTGCAACAGCCTTCTGCCAAGAGGGGGGACTTAATGGTCTCCAAACAGCACAGAGAAGCTGGGTTTTATCTAAGTGCTCATTTTCTCTGGCTGGCAATGCCACCAACTCACTGGGCTATGGAAAGTCGGCACTGCTGGTGATGAAGGGAGTCATGAAAAATTCACTGGTAACATTTTGTGCTGAAAGCATGTGCTAATGTTAATTTCACTGTGGATAAAAGCATCGGAGGTGGAAATGGTACCTCTCCAACTTGGTATTATGGCAATCACTGTGGGATTTGTCAACATGAGTCCAAATACTTGGAAAGGAAAAAGCCCTTTCCTTATAGTGTTGCTGCTGTAAATTTGTTATGCATCAGCTTCTTTTATGAAGAACAACATTGCTAAACATTGAAGAGTGAAAATGAAGCTCTAATGAAAGCAATGGGGAAATTCCCGCACATATTTCTTTGCACATATCCCACCAGGAAGGAAAAGGGTGGGGAGGAGATTTCTCTAGCACATTTCCAGTTAGGCATAATGAAGACAAATCTCTGAGGGGAAGACTGAAGTCAGTGATAGATATTCTGTAGGTGCTTGAGTGTGATCAAGGATCCTTGAAGCAAATAAGAAGCAGAGCAGATGCTCACAGAAATAATGGTAGTATAAAGGAAAGGTTTGATGTTTTTTTTATTTTACAGATAAAAACCTGAATTCTGAATATTTGGAGAGAAAACAGTATAGTCTAGTAAATACAGGGGGGAAAGTTCATACTAGCATCTTATGCTACACTGCTCATAATAAGTATAGCTATCATACAATGAATTATGCTGGTGAATCATAAAAGGCCAATTTTGTACATTACAGGATACTCCATTTTCAAGATTCAATTTTTAATTTAGAAGCAGAGGCAATTTATTTTTTAAACATTAAAATTGTGAAAGCATTTAAGCATAGTCTTTTCTTTGTTTGGTTGGGGGGGATTTTATGGTTCACAGGGTTTGAAGAAATATACTTTTTAAAAAAAGGTTGGAATTTTAAGCCAAGTTTTGTTCACAAGTACGTTGTTAAAATAGCTGTGAAAACTTAATTTGGCACAGTGTTTTCCAGGCTGAAACCTCACAAAAAGAATTAAAAGCATGTTGGCTACATCAGGCTCCAGAAGATGGCAGTGTCTCACCTTCTCTAACTGCTCCATGCAGGCATTGTGGACCACGATCTTGCAGGCAGCACACTTCCTCCGCAGGGCAGACTTCTGCAACAGGAAAGGGACAGTGTGTGCATGAGCTGAGCTATGCCCAGGGGGAAAACAAAGTCCGCTGAAAAACAGGAGATGTTTCTCTCCCTATGCAACACACTTCCCCTCCCCCGCCCCCCCCTTTGATGCTCTCAGTTATGTATTTTTTAAAAAAGTAAATAAATACAATTAAATAAATAAATAAGGTCTGAAGCACTTCTGGTTAAAATCTGAACTTTTGTGGGAAAAAAAAAAAAGCAGCCGCCACAGCACTCTAGCTTGTGAACTAGAAGTGAATGCCTCCCTATAGATAGGGGATCAGGGTAACAGTGCAGAGCATCACTCTAAAAGTGAGCATCCTAAGAAGATGATGAGCAAAGAGGAGAAAAATTGCAGATACAGCAAACTCGCACCAGTTTGCAAGAGGTCATTTCATGCTTATCATAAAATATTTAATTTGATGGGCCTGACCATTGCCTTGCAGAAAAATACTTGGGTTATTTTAGCAGAGAATGATCAAATTCTCATAGAATGTTGTTAAATGCTTATGAAATGCTACAACAGGGACAAAATTCTCAATTATGATGGTTAGTTTTATTAATTTCAATAGGGCTTTTGAAATAATTTCCATTGAATCCCCTGAGCCAAGGCATATCAAAGGCAAGAGAATACATCCAGAAGAGAGAATGTATTTACTTACTCTACTTTCATAAACTCCATTTAATTAACCAGATGGAATTAATTTTCATAGAAATTTAACTTACAGACTTGTGCTTGAGGGACAGAAGATTTATAAATACACAATAAGTTGAGATTTCTTTGCTTCAGATATTTTACATTCAATTTATTAATGTCCATTTAAAACTCTAATAAATTATTTCTTTATAATTTTCAGCATATTTCAAATAAGCTCACTTAAAAAAATAGGGAACATAGATTCAGCTCACATTATGGAATAATTATAATAATTTTATTAATTCTCATAATTATCTAGATACACCCTAACTGTACGTGTTCACATGTACATGGTGTTCTAATGTTTCACCTGAAGACTTGCTAAGTTCATGGGTTTTGTCTCTGTGTTTGCCAAGTTTGGGGTTTCTTATCTCTGTAAAAACCATATACAATATATTAATAAATTTCCATATTACTTTCAATGTGCTAAACCATGAGGAAGAATTTTCTCATTTTTAGAAAGGCAAAAATCTACCAAGAACATAAGAACAATCACACTGGGTGAGACTAAAAGTCCACGCAGCCAAAGAAATCCTGTGTCCAGCTTTTGCCAGAACTCAGTGTCTCAGGACCAGTGTAAGTGCACAGCAAACACACAGTGACACTTCCCTTGTCCCCAAGTCCTACACAATCAGCAGCTTTGGGACTTTGCTTCAGTATTCTGACAGAGGGATAAACTTCTCAGGCTTGGCCTTAATGCTGTATTCCATAATACACCCAATTTGCTTGAGAAGTTTTAGGAGACAGATATCAAATTTGTGCTATGGAAAGCACAAATGTGTGCTATGGAAGGTCTTTTGGATCAAATTGCCCTGAAAACTGGGGGTGATTATTGAATCAAAATGCTTTGATTTTAATTAAAAGCTCTGCAGGTGGGAGGACACTAGGGAGGGTGGTAGAAAAAGCAGAAAGGCAGTATTATGAAGAGTCATAGATGGTAATTACAAACATCCCAGAGAAGAGGAACTCCCTTTAACCTTTTCAGTCCAAGGGCTAGGATACTCCCTTAGAGCATTGTTTCAGATCAAGGACATGAACACAGGATTCCCACTCTCTTCCCAAGCTTCCTAAGTGCCAAATTGAGAAGGGTTTGGGTATTTTCTTTTCTTTTGATGAAGTAATTTAACTGAAACAGTAGGCAAAAAGAGCTCCTGAAATAGCCTGAAAGTGGAACAGTCAAAGAACAGATACTCATGGATCTGAGATCAGTCCAATGAAAGGTTTCCATAGACAGCAGAAAAGCTTCAATAGGAGAATAGCTAACCTTGAATATTCCCAAACAGGAGAAGGTAAACACTCAAATAAGAGTGCACTCATTGCTGGTGAGTGCATTCAAGAGTTTGGAAAATTCAGTTCAAACCCTTGCAGTGATTAAAATCACAGAAATTTGATCAGACCCTCCTCTCAGAGGCTGCAACAAGTGATATATTTGCATATATTTTCATGTAAAATAGACTGGTGTCTTTTAATATTTCTGAAACATCTCAGTGTTCTACCCTTTTTTCCCTTACCTTGTTAGTAAAGCTGTTCATTACATACATTCTCACTGTGTAAATAATCTGGGTCAATCAAAATTGGTTTGGGCTTTTTTTCCTGAAGCAATAAAGTTTACCAGAAGCCTTTTGCCCTTTTTGCTCTCCTTTTGGAACACAGGCAAACAATTCAAGCTCTCAAGCAATTCAAGCTCTCAAGCAACTGAGCACTGCATCAGTGTGAAGCCAGGCTTGTTACCTCAGAAAAAGAAATCCGAAAATAACTCACTGAGAATTTGACTTGGCAGCTCTCCTCCCCCAGGTAGCAGAGGTCCCCAGAAACATTTGTCTCTAGCCACAGATGCTCTCCATTCACAGCATTCTCCTGGGAAAAATAAATAGTTATTAATCTGTTTTGTGAAAATCAGCCATGTGAGCATATAGGGAAAAAATTTGATATTAAACAAATTTAGAACACTTAAATAAACTTTAAAAAAAAGCCAAACAAAAACCAACTACCACACCACCACATATTGCTTTGGTTTTCTACAACACAAAGCCATAGCATATAACAGTATTACCCTGGCTGACCATCCCAGCTTAAAAGATGCTGGAATACAATGATGCGTCACCAATCTGAACACACTTCAGTTAAACTTTGCTGATGTTCTTCCCACATGCTGCGTAGTTTAACTGCGAATTCAGATTTCATAACCATGTGATGTGTACAGAATTTTAAAGAAATAGAAAATCCAGAGAGATGAAATAAAAACACAACTAATGAACTTCCAATGAGAGAAACAAAAAAATTTGAGAACAGGGCACAGGAGTAAAAAACAACATGCTGACTATAGCTTTAGGATGATAGGACAAACTAGACTAGGGAAAATGCTCTCCTTGAAATAGCTGGCTCAACATTCTGTGAATACCACAAAAAAGCATTACACTACCAAGAGAGACTACACTTGAACTTTATACATGAAAGAACAACACATTCATCTGAGAATGCTCTCAAAAAAAATGAATCTACCTAGCATGCTGACAATTAGGAGTGATCAACATCTAACAACATAGGCTAATGTCTAACTTTGTCTTGACAGCCCCATTTGATCAAATTTGTACCTTGAATCTATGCAAGATTGTTCTAAAGAAACTTGAGTGTAGATGGACTATGGGTTTCACGTGCATGTAATCCTGATGGGACTAAAAAGCCTAGAAGTCTACTGTACACTACTTAAGTAAAGTGAATAAATAGGAATTCTGTTCAGCCAGAATTAGAGCATGATAGAAAATGCTTTGACAGTCTGACATTTGCTTCCCACACTGTAGAAGTCAAAAATGATGATGCTCACCAAACAGATGGCGTCCAACAGCAGGATGCTCTGAAATAGCCATCTTGGAGAAAATAATTTATTTAAAATACCACTGTCACTTTCAAAGTGATAAAATGAGATAGCTTCTCTTGCTATGCTGATTTCTTAGGTAATGAAGAAAAGCAGGAGTAGCAAAATCCTTTTCCTTCTGGAGTGTATCCACAACAGCCAGGACCCAGGCAAGAGTGCACATGGTGCCCACCACAACCATGGTGTTCACTTCCAATAAAACTAGAGGACAAGACCAACACTGGCTGTTTTTTGGTGAAAGGTCTACCTGTCAGCAGGTCTTTAACTTCATCAGAAATGTTCTAATTCCCAGAGCACAATAGTTTAGGTGAGGATTTTCAAAGCTTTTATAATGCAAAACAATTTCTAAGAACTTGCACTAGCTTAAGAAATTTTTCAAGCCTTTCTTAAGGGGTACATTATTCAGCTTGTAAACTCTGCCCTCATGTGTGTCCTTATATTGCAGCTATTTTCTCTTCAGCAGCAGGATACAAACTTGCCAAACAGTGCTTGACCTGAGCTGATTCTCTGCTGACAAAACGTTGTCAACTCAACATTATAACCCAGAGGTAAATCTCATAGGATATAAAAGATTCTTAGGAAAGACCAACTTTGAAAGCTAAATAAGAAAGCACATAGCTTTGGGGACAGAATTTTTAACAAGGAATAAAAAATATATTAAAAAATAGATTAACCAGCCCTTCATTTGGAACAGGTCCACAAAACTTGCCATCAGGATTTCTAAAGATAAAGTGGCCTATTTCCATAACCTGGTTTGCATTGTTTGTTCTCTATTGTTCCAGATTGTATCAGAGATTTACTTGTCTAACTTTACATCACCATGCAAATAAAATTAGTTAGTAGTCTACAAGGGTGACCTTCACAGTTCATGTTATTATAGAGTTCTAACACAACTAGGTAATAAAAATGTAAATAACCTGATCGGCTATGAGTAGCACACCTCCAGACACCTGCAGCCACAGAAAATTTCACAACACTGTGTGTGAAAACTCACAATTTCAATTCCAGCAAAGGGCCTTTTGTAAAATCTTTCATTCTGAATCAGAGCAAATCAGAGACTTCCCAAGATTAAATGCCTCTCTCAAAAATCTTTCCTTCTCAGTTAATTTTTCTCAATAAGATCAAAGGGAATTATTTGAACTTTACTGTTTTAAATTTTACAAGACTGTGTAATTTGTATGATGAGACAGTCTCTTGCCACTTATGATAACCACAATATAGTCAAAGGAAGTGCTGTGACTTTTTGTAAGACAATTTTTTTATTCACTTCAGACAGAAAATTTTGACAGAAATCAATACCTTTCCATGAAGAATTTTGACTTCAACAAAACAGTATTTTCTACTCCAAAATTTACAGGCAATATTCCACAACATGCTGGACAAAAGGGCATTCATCCCCACCTACCAACATAGAAGCTGATGGAGGTCCTTGGAATAAGCTCCTATCTCCTCAAGGATGATATCCTGTTTAACACAAAGCTAAACCACAGTAAAGGTTCTGTCATCACTTGTATATTTTGACACAGGGGTTTTTTTCTCCATAAAAAGTTTCCCAGTTTGGTTTATTTTGTACTTGATGTCTTTACGTTGGCTTTAGGATTTAATGGCTTTTAAGGAAGCAGCTGCTCTCTTTCTGTCCCTGAAGACACAGACACCAGTCTCATGCTCTTGCCATTTTCCTCATATTGAATCTGTGGCTGTAAAGCTACACATAAAATCAGTTCTGCTAATGGAAAAAACTAGATATCTTATCTACCAAATCAGCTAGACAAAATTACTCACCCTGTGGCCACATAACTGTTGGCTCTGACACAAAGAGGGTGGGTTAAAGATGGCTTCAGTGGGACTGATGCTTTTGATGCCACCTCAGCTGACCTGTCAAATCACACTTTTAGGCTGACACGTTTTGCTCTGACTTGCTATGTGGAAAATGGCTACTGTCCATGATTGTGGATAAAACAACAATGACTGTGGCCTAATAAAGAAAACTGTGAACTCTCTCTCCTCTCCAGCTTCCCAGCCTTCACAAGAGTGTGAACTAAGTGTCCTGGGAAGAAAAAGAGCCCCTGCTCAGTGAACGGAAGCAGCAGCACTTTCCTGGCAGCCTGCCTCACAGGGGACAACCATCTCAATATCTCTCCATCTCCCAGATGGAGACCTCCTGTTTGATTGCTCCCGATCCATTACCACCTTAATAGCACACAAAAATAATTTTAGTATAGCAAACATTCCTTGCATACAAAACAAATCCCACACATAATCCCCCCTGAAGTGGAAGAGAAATAAGAATTCAAGGACCAGGAGTTTGGGAACCATGTAATTCTATGCATGTGTTCATGACTTGCTGTGCACATTTCACTTATTGAACTAGATTTCTTCAAGTACTCCAGCACAGTAAATGACAGAGCAAGAGTTACCATTTTACTAACACCCACCACTATCTCCACGCCTCACTGTTCTTCAGACTGCAGTCAGCATGGTTTCAAAAGAAATGAAGATAAACCTGGCTGTTTTAATTTGCCATGTCAAGCAGCTGTAGTTATTCAGCCAAACAAATAAACCAGTCAGGTCAATCTTCTAGTTCAAAAGAGCTGTAACTCCAGTTGTAACCGGAGGAATGGAACTCTCCTCCATTCCCGCTATGACTGACATTCCACAAAAAATTATTTAAGAAAAACCTCTAAAATAAATCAGTAAGAAAATTTTCCCTTTGTTAATACTCCAGCAAGAGAGAAGAATTGTCTTGCAAATACGCAATTGGGTGATACTTGTGATTGGTGTACAATCAGTGGTCGTCAATTTAACTTAAATATATTTGTAAGCAAAAATTATTAATTTTGGCCCTTTTCTTTATGAAACGACTATTGAGCAGAAACAAATTTGTTTGGATGTCTCTTTCCCAAATATCTTTCTGTCATGTTTGGATTATGTCTCATCCTTAACTCTGAAATTTGAGAGTTTGCAATACTTGTGTTGCAAACAGGAGCAGTGCCTCAAATATTTTCCTGTGGATATATATTCTCAATTTTAACTCTGTCTTAGCACATTTTAATTTGGAATATTTTTCATGTAGAGGTCACCTATTCTTTAATTATTGCAAGTGTAATATATGGACATAGAACAAAATAAAACAGCATAAGGATACGGGGGAAAGAAGATTTCCTGCACCATGCTTTCCAACATCTCTGCATCAATTGCCTTTTGAGATCCCCCTAAGCCCCAGCTGAGAGATCACCTGTATGCAGAAACAGAATGACAACATTTGTCTTTATGGAGCAGCAATGTTCAGATGCTATCATCAGAGATGATGATTCTCCATGTCCTCATGAACCACTACTTTGGCTGATAACAGTGGCACTGCAGCAACAAGAAAAAATACATGTCTTCTAGATGGGCACTTTCTGCAAAATCATTGCATCCTCTACACCACTGGAAAAATGCAAAGCTATGGCCACTATTCTGAAAAATGACAGCTCTCTTTTCTCTTTAGAGCTCTCTGGAAGAATATCTGATCTCAAACCTCCATGAAAAAGAAGCAGCAAAGTAGAACTACTGATCTAGAACACAGCACTTCAAGTGTAAACTGCACTCAAAAATTCAGCAATTTCTAAATATACATGGGACTTCCACTCATCACTACATAATTCCAACTTGAATTCCTATCACCTCTTCATCTTTTTATATGACTAAAGGAATACCCCAGGATTTTCCTTTTGTCAAGAGAGCATGTAAATATAAACATCTCTTTTCAACTGAATGCTTAATTCCCAATTACAAAACTTAGCCTTGAAGACCCTCTAATGGAAGAGAAGTCCATTCTTCAGTGTAAAAGTTAGTAAAGATTTCAGGAAGTTATGATACAGAAGCCAAACCATTCATGGGGAAAATAAAATTATCAAGAATGAGGGAAATGTTTCATCATACGTAAAAAACATGTGCTACTGTATTAACACATATGCTAATATGTATTATCCACGCTTTAGTACATCATTAGGCACTTCCAAAAACATACTGTCCATGAAAGTAAGTGGACAGAACTACGACTAGTGCCAAAAAGACACAGAATATAATGCAACAAACTCCTTTAAAAGTCACATTTACTAATTTTAAATACCTCACTGACGTAGGTCACTTCATGTCTCTTTGTCTAGCCCATACCCCAATCACTTTATCTACAAGGACGTTATGGAAGATGGTGTCAAAAACTTGCAAAAATCAACACAATGGTCTCTCCTCATCTACCAAGCCAGTCATTTAATCTGTTGGGCTGGTCAGGCACGATCTCTCCTCCATAAATCAATACCGAATACTCTCAGTCAGTTCTTAATATTTTTGGAAATTACTTCCAGAAGGATTTGCTCCATAACCTTCACAGAAATCAGAGTGAGACTGATTAGCCTGGCATTCCCTGGATACTCCTAATCCTTCTTGAAGGCAGAATGGACATTTGTTTCATTGCAGTCCTCAGGAACATCCTCTGACCATCATGATCATTCAAAGACACCAGACTGTCCTAGCAGTGATATCAGCGAGCTCCCTCAGCACCTTTAGATGCAACTCATCAGGTCCCATGGACTTATGTATGTTCAGTCTAAGTATTCCCCAACCCAATCACCCTCCACAAAAGTAGGCTTGCTTTCTTTCAGACCCTGGTATCAGTGACGCGGGGCTGCTGAAAGCAGCTCTTACCAGAAAAAATGGAGGTTAAAAAAAAAAGGGGATTGAGCAATTCAGGTTTTCCATGTCCTTTGTCACCATGTTCTCTGCTCTATTCAGTGGCAGCCCACTGCTGCTGTTCTTGCTCTTCCTATAACTGCTAATTTGCCTACAGAAACCATTTCTGTTACCTTTCCTGCTCCTCTAAGATTCTACACTACATGAGATCTGGCTTTCCTACTCCATCCATGTGGAATCAGGTAGTGCCTTGTACAATCCTCCTGACCTAAGCCTGCTTCCACATATTACCAAATGTCATTTTTTAATATCTGCTACAACACACAGTTTCCTGTTCTTGTTAAGACCTAAAAGATTTCTGTCTTTGTCCTGTATACACATAATTTATGCTATAAATTGTAATATTTCTCCTCTAAAAACATTCAACTTGTACCCAGAGGACTCCAATTGTGCATTCACAGAGCACAAAGCATAGATCAGTCAAGTTTTTTTATTGACCTCCAATAATAGATATTTAATACCTTCAAATGCCTCTTAAGAAGTGGAGGAAAGATTCTAAGTTTCATTGTCATGGGAGAAGAAAATAAATGAGCATTAACATAAAAAATGCACTATGAAATAAAAGAGATTTGGGGATGTTCAACACTGTACTACTCGAGTGGCTGTCAATAGTTTTGTAGGCACCATAGAAAGCAAGAGCTAGAAGGCAGTCGTTAAAATAAAATTACAGGAGGACTTTGTGTACAAGCTTATGGTTATAATCCTTGCTAGAAAATGGCAACAGAAAAATACACAAAGACCTGGATCCTCAAAGGTACACAGGCAGTGTATTGGGTGGCTCAGTGTGTACTCACTTGAGAATCTGGGCTAGAATTACCTGCTTTATTATTTAACACTTGGGAGTGATGTCTGAAATGAAGGTGTGTGGGAGAAAGGGATAGGCATAAACAGATCACAGGGGCAGCCATTTAGGTCAATTCCTTTCTGCTAAGGCATCCCCAGCACTCCCCTCTGGTTATTATAACACCTACTCCACACACTGTATTCTGTGTGGCCCTGGTGTGAAAAGAGAACCTTAAATTATGCAGCAAAGCTACAAGTTAACTTGAATTAAGTGTAACAAATGTGATGAAACTGGACATTTGGTAAGTATTTTAGGGAAAAGAAACCTCAGGGAAGAGAGACAGTAGCAAAAACAATAGTAAAGAATACTGGGGAGTTTTGTGCAAAAAGTCTTAGGGGACATGAGAATCATCACCTCTGTTTTACAGCTAGAGAGGCTGATGTACTGAGAGGAAAAACAAATCCTCTGAGCTCACTCATGAGGTAAGTGACAGAGGCAGAGAATGGAATCCCACTCTTTAACTCAGTGCCCTGTTCACAGGTCTATCTGATAATGGCAAATTGCCTGAAAGAAATTCTCAAAAATGGAGGCAATGGCCAGGGAATTCTTTCCAATTATTACTGTGAAGACTCTGGTAGAAAAAATTTCCTCCCTTTTAAGTCAAGAGACAATTTATGCTCATGTCACTTAGACTTTGGAAAGATCTCCCATCATGTGTCCTTGGAGAATCATCCTCAGAAATACTGAAGAGAAGGATGATGTATATGAGGATGCAACACACACTGATCAATGCTGCCTTCCAGTGATTAAATACAAAAATTTCTTGTCTGGCTCTGACAAATCAATTGACATAGCTTTTCTCTCTACCCAATATACTTCTGATTTAATTTAAAACTTAAGGGTTTTTTCTTTGTTGAAATTTGCTACATATTAAAAACCTTTGGTCCACTTTAACCTCACCACATGTCCAAACCTTACTTCCATCATACCTCAGATTTGAGAAATACCTTTCTCCCTTTTACCAGTTACTACAGCTGGTCAGTTTGGTCTCCTCCCAACCACAGATGTCTTCCACTCACTATCATGTCCCTCTCCCCACATGACACAGAGTTGCCTCCCTTCTCCAATCAAAGTGTGAAGTAAAGCAGCAACACCAGTCTGAGAGGCTACAAACAGCTAAGAAATTGAACTGACCAAAAATCTAAACCATAACCATGGAAGTAAACTACAAAAAAACCATCCACAATTAAAACCCAAAATATTTAATCAATGTTTACCAACTTATAGCAACTCCTGCTGTATTTATGTACAGGGATCACATGAGGTAAGAGGAGTAACCATCATGAGATCATGGATCACCCTGATAAAGGAGTAGCAGACAACTGGCTGAGAAAGGGAAAGCTGTGGTTGTTGGACTTGGGGTTCAAGGTTTGTTGGGTTTTTTTGGCAGGCATTGTTGCTGTTGTTTTTTCTAAGTACAGTTTTCAAAGGTGTTTAATTTAGCTGATGTGCTTAACCCTTCACTTATGTGACTGGTCCTTCAGATTTCTACTGAACAGCAGTGATGATTTAAAATAGGAATTTTTACTACCTTGCTGAATCAGCACCTGGGATTTCTGGAATGAAGGAACAAGGTATTCTCCAAAGCACTTCCTAGAGGATTCTATGCAAGTTTTCAAACTGCAGACCCTCACAGCGAATCTAATCCAGCTTCCTGCAACACAGCCTTCAAAATTTCATCCCCTTAAACTCTGAGTGCAACACCTGGAAGAGCAGGCAATCTAAAAATCAATTCTGTTTTGATATAGAGAACAAAGATAAACATAAGCCATATTCATCAAAGCAGAAGTTATCTTCAGTTAAAAGCTGCTTGGGTGGCTGGTGCCTTTGATAATGCAATGTATCAACCTCTTTACCTATAGCCAAGTGTGAAATCTTCTGTGTGCTTTGCTTTAATTGAGACATTTGTGTGACCTGCTGGCTTATTCTCGTCTTTCTAGCTGTTAGCAGTGCATAACCACATGGAAGGTGTGTGGGGATGGTTCAGGGGAGGTACAGACTTGCCACTAGTAAACACAGAGAGGGCGGCCAAACCCTGGAACAGTCTTCCTAGAGAGGCGGTTGATGCCCCATGCCAGTGTTTAAAAGAGATTTGGACAATGCCCTTAACAATCTGCTTTAACTTTTGGCCAGCTCTAGAGTGGTTCAGCCCAGAAACATAAAAGAACAAGACAAGGGGTGGAAACATGTTCTCCATGTCCACACACTAGCTTGGGCCCAGAAGAAACCTAATCTTACCTACAAAGCTGTGACCAAAGATTTCAACTACCTGCTCTGCAGATGCAGACCACTTGACATGTGTCTTTAGCCTTAAATTTTGGCCCATCAAACAGAGGCACAAAACCCTGCTGTGCTAAAATTAAATCAACCTTTGTCAAGAAGGAGGTGAGAAAATATAACCAGCTTCCAAGCTGGAAGATTTGTCCTTTTTTGCTCAAGACCTCACAAGTTTTTATGTCTCTGCCTCATGCTTCAGCTCATAATAAAAGCATATACTTAATGACTAGCACTAATTCTGATAGCAACAGGATGTCTTATGTTGATTTAAGGATGGAGAGAAAAACAACTAGAGATACTGCTCAAACTGACTGCCAAAAAACCAAACACCTACAGTCCACTCTAAGGCCGCTCTTGGTTCCTTCACAGGTCCATTGGTGACTGGAATGTTGAGGGAATGCACAGGAGCCAGGTGCTGGAGGCCTGACCTGGAGATTGCTTTCCTGCAAATTGAAAAGAAAAAAAAAATAAATTGACTGTATATATGAAGTATATATATATAATAAATGTATCTCTCCAACATAATAATGCAACATCCTCCCCAGGCTTCTCCAGAAATCAGAAGAGGCAGCAACACATTTCGTTTCAGCTTCAGTGAAATAATGCTTGAATGCCATCTCCTGTTAAAGCAATTTAGAAAAAGAATAAAGCAACCTGATCACTGGAAATTACTGTTTAATGAAGATCGGTTACTCAGCTGGCACTAAGCTAAAATATCAAATCTAGTGGACTGTCTGTGGTTATGTTTGCCAGTGTTAGTGGAGTCCTCATGCATTTCACCTATCCCTTACACACCAACTAGATCTGTCAAATCAATTTATGCCTAATTACAAATACCATTCATAGGAGAGACAAAATATTAGTTTACACAGAGAATCAAACTCTTGTTGCTTTTATTCAGCTTATAGACTGGAAAAAATAGTCTATTCAGCATCCAACTACATAAAACAAGACATGGGGACACCCCCAGGAAGGGAAGTCATAAACTGCAACCTTCTTTGATCATATCAGAATGCCTCAAGGAATTACAGCTTCTTTCCACTTAAATTTCTATTTCAGTTCTATCTTTCTGGTCCAAAGTAATTTTTACAGCTCTTGAGGCATAGATGTGACCTTCCTCAGAAGTCATAGGTGGTGGCCAGAAACACTCCTGAAGCTGTCTCCACAGTGCTGAGGGGACATCCCCCCTGCCTGTCTCCGTACAGACACACAGTCCTGACAGAGCTCTCAGGTGGAAGCACAGTATGCTGCCAATAAAAAGCTCAGCTGCACCTAGACAGTATTTCCTATAGCTTCCCAACACTATTGCATTGTATGTATTAGAACCTGATGGCAGTGGCCAAAATCATCACACAGCTTCAGCTGCAGCGATTCAGAAGACGACAAAAATCATCTCAGAGAGCTATCTCCCTTTGTAAGCCAAATACACACATCCCCCACAAAGTAAAATGACAGGCTGTTTGTGCAAAGTGCATTTTTGTGATACCGCTCCCACAGAGCTGCAGCTATTTATAGCATCTCCTAATCTTACCACTGTCCCAAGGCAATAAAGGTCAATTGAGCCAGTGGAGACAATCCAGGTCAGCCATATGCTAAATAAATCTTTTCATTGTCCTGAAAATATACAGTGCAATATATATCTGTAATAAAGGAGCTTGGAAGCCTCGCTGCTCACAGTGCATGTCTGGAAAAATCGAGGGAACCGAAGCAGAATCTCTTAAACCCCCTCTTTTGTGGGCAGCATGAACAACTCAGAACATTAACATCAGTCTCTGATCATCCAATACCATCTTTCTACTTAATGTGGGCAAGACTTTGACATTAAGGGGTTTTTTCCCAAAATATTTTGGATTTGATAAAAAAGGGGAAGAAGCCCAAGAAAAATACTTTTACCATCTGGCAATGTATCAGGAGGGAACAATTTAGCAAGAAAGATTTTATGCCAAATATATAAGCACAACATAAGCTACACATTTCAGTAACTGGATTAAGTCCTTACAGAAATAAGTTACAAGAAACTAAAGCAATGTTTTTAAATATATTTTTGAAGAAAACTTCCCAATATTTGGCAGGTTTTTTTCCATGCTGTTTTCAGTATCAATGTAGTTATTCAGGCTTCCTAAACACAGGAGTACATTCTTGTGTCTATTTGTGGTTCATAACATGTTCGTTTATTCGGGTGGAAACAGGGCAGTATCACTTTTCCCACTCTGCATCACTGACAGGGGCAAAGCAAACCTACTTAGGCCTGTCCTCTCAACAGATGAAGGTAAAAATGTGTAATGAGTGCTTGCAGACATCTCAGCACCAAGCCTCAGATACTATTTCAAGTCAGAATTAGAGATGTGCAAGCCACCCACAGGAGAACCTGAAACTTGGCCCACATTTCTTTAAGAGGAACCTGAGGCTGATGAGCCTTTTTGGGGGAGACCTGGCACAGTTTTGTGCCAACAGCCTGCCCTTCCTCAGCATGCCAGGATGGATTTAGGGCTTGCCTGGAAAGTACCCATACACAAAACACAGGCATGACTATAACACCTTTTTTTTTCCTGAATTTTTTTTAACATAAAAGCCTTAAAGTTATCTCAGAGACTGCAAATTTGCATGAGCCAGCTAGAAGAGACCCTTAGGCCCAGGAACAAGCTAAAAAATGTCTACTTTTCACAGTTTCTTATCAGAATTTTCTCTCGGAGCAAAGAGAGACAAAGTGTCAAAACACACCGTATGCACTGCAGAAGCCTTTCCCATTAAAAAAGGAGGCCAAGCTAAAGAGCAGACACATGGCCTTCTAATAAATGCAGACAGACAAGAGACAGGAAAAAGGGGGGAAAGGGAAGGTAGCATGAATCTGATAGCAAAGCAGATGCTGAGTATCCAGGTGATCATATCTCATATTACTCTGACAAATTACACCACCTGGCACTTTTCCAACAGCAAGGTAACATGATTGGCTTTTAGTTATCTTTCCCAGAAATTTCATCTCCACTGTGCTGAGTGCATGAATGAAAACACAGGCTTGACAGCCAGCCTTTCCCATAGAAGTAATCACTGTTCCCTGACAAGAGACAGACAGAAAAAGTGAATCTGTGGTTTCATCATATATTCCATTCTTCAGACTATGAAGAGCACAACTTTGTTAAAATGGGCACAACCAGCAAAGCTGTTGATTTAGTAACCAACAGCTAGGAAATATTTCATCATAAATAATTATCTGTATTTGGATAACTACTTTTTCACATCCATTAATCAGTTATTTGTAGTAGATCTTATTATTGACTTAGCTAACACACCATCATTGAGAACAGGCATGGGTACGTATAAATGCTTATGTCCTTGAATACACAACTAACAAAAACATCTGATACTAATTCCATAGTTGATATCATTAAGAAAATTCTTTAACAGAGCAGTCAGCTGTCTTGAAAACCAAAAGCAATCAGGCATTCAGAACACTGACGTTTTTTATTTTTTAAAAGCATTACATTTGCATTTTGCTGGAAAGTCAGGCGAGGCTCAACCTACTTATTAGATCAAAGGATACATATTTGATCAGGGGAGATTTGAGCTTATATCCCAGACTTTGGCTTTATTGAGCATTTTCCTCCACTGAAGGCATATAGATATCCTCTAATGAGTTCTTTAGACTGAACAATTTTACCTGAACCTTCAAAGAGCACAACAATTATTCAATAATATGCAACTTATTTAAGTGCTAAGAAAAAAATCTATTTGGAATAGAAAGAGTAAGTTACTGTTGCATGTGGTTAACGGTTTTAACTGTCAATTAGTTGTCACTGGTGTTGGAATTGCTGGGGTCATCATTCTCCTTTGTATATGAGCATTACCATTGGGGTAGTCTCTCAGCTGCAAAGTTGAAAGAATGTAAAAATGCAGAGAGACTGGCTCCCACAGATCCTATGACTAGGACATCTGCCAGGAAAGATGTTTTTAGGAGTCTCTTCTCAAAGTTAACCTAGATATTTACAGAGAAAGGGACCATAATTTGTATCATGTTTAAGTTACAATAGCCCTGAATTTCTTTGAACATTCAATGTGGGTAAACTGTACACCTGCCAGCCTTCAGCTTTGCCAATTATAGCTCTAAAAGCCCTGTACAAGGCCAGACAGCACCTGCATAGTGTATGCACATATTATATGTGTCTGAGTTTATTTGGAGGTGGCTTTCACTCCTGCAATTTGCTGCTTATGAATGTTGTAAAGAAAATGTACTGGCCAATCTCTGGCATTATTTAAGTTTTCCCCATGCAACTCTGCTGACTGCACCAGGACCCTTAAATCCCATTGTTCCCAGCTTGCCTTCTGGGCACGTATTTTTCTTAATTTTAGCTGACCACTGGGCAGTGATTATTTCACTTCAACATCGATTCCCAGATTTTTTGCATTTGTTATGAAAGGAGCCAATTTCAGCCAAATTAAATAATCTGTCTGGTGCACCAACCCACTCCTGACAGTGGCCAGTAGCAGGTGTTTAGAGAAGCACTGGCACAAATTGGGTGATCCTTCCCCTGATATACTCCAGTCACAGTTTCCAGTAATCAGTAGTTTAAGGACTTCCTGAGCTGGAGGCTGCTTCCAGACCTTTGCACTTAATAGCCTGTAATGGCTTTTTACTCTAGGAATGTGTCGGTCCTTCCCTGAATCCATTTATAGTCTTGGTCTCCACAGAAGGCTATGTAATAAGCTCCACAATTTAATTATGGGCAATGTAAAGTACTTCCTTCTGTCTGTTTTTAAAATCCTGCCTGATAATTCAATTGCTGTATCATATTGTAAGTAACAGCGAGTAATCACGTGCCTCTCTACACCTCCTGTGATTTTAGGAATCTGTGGATAGAGCCCTTAAATCACTACAACCCCAAGTGGAAGCACCTTAGACTACTTAGACTTCTGCTAATCCTGAATCTGTTCTACCTTTATCAATCTGTAGCTCAATTATGGATTTTTTGATGTACAATTGTCAGAACTAGAAAAAATATTCAACATCTGGCTGCACCCAAGTGGTGGCGTAATCACACTTTCTGCATTGTTCTCTTTAATTATCCAAAGATCTCTTTCCTGAATGTTAATTGGTAATATGAAGTCCAAACTTGATAGCTTTTTAATCCTGCACATGCATTATTTTGACTTCACCAATCTCACATTTCAGCTGCAATCTGCCTCAGAATCATTCAGCATCATGAGATCCTTCTGAAAATTTGTGCAATCAGACCATGCCCACTCTAATTGTGCAAAACAAGCTTTATCCACTTTCATTTTGTTTCCAATGCAACTGCTCCCATCACAGCACTGCTCCCGTCACAGATCCCCAGTGGTACTCACCAGTAAACATGCAGGTAAACCCCGAACACCACCCTATTACTTGATACACTTAAACAGTTTAGCCATGAGGACACCATGCCTTCCACCCCTGGTTTCTATACCA